GGCAGAGAAAGAGAGAGAGAGAGAGAGAGAGAGAGAGAGAGAGAGAGAGAGAATGAAATACTTTGGAACTGCCCTTCATTTTGAGAGGATATCGGAATTTGGCATGAGCCCATCTGCTCTTCAAAGCCATCTTCTCTCCTTAGTTCAAAGCTTAACATGAGTCAATAGTGTGATGCAGCAGCAAAAAAAGCTAATGCTATTCTGGGCTGCATCAACAGAAGTATAGTGTCCAGATCAAGGGAAGTAACAGTACCACTCTAGTCTGCCTTAGTCAGACCACACTTGGAATACTGTGTCCAATTCTGGGCACCACAATTTAAGAAGGAACGTGTGCAGAGGAGGGCAGCTAGGATGATCAAGAGTCTGGAAACTAAGCCTTATGAGGAGCGCTTGAAGGAGCTGGGTATGGTTAGCCTGGAAAAGAGGAGACTGAGAGGAGGTACGATAGCCATCTTCAAATATCTTAAGGACATGAAGGAAGAGAGCATGTTGTTTCCTCCTGCTCTGGAGCAGGCACCCCCAAACTCGGCCCTCCAGATGATTTGGGACTACAACTCCCATCATCCCTAGCTAACAGGACCAGTGCTCAGGGATGATGGGAATTGTAGTCCCAAAACATCTAGAGGGCAGAGTTTGGGGGTAACTGCTCTGGAGTGTAGTACTCAAACCAATGGCTTCAAGTTACAAGAAAGGAGATTCTGACTAAACATTCAGAAAAACATTCCGATAGTAAGAGCTGTTCAGCAGTGGAACAGACTCACACTAGAGGTGGTGGACTCTGTTTCCTTTGAGGTTTTTAAGCAGAGGTTGGGTGGCCATCTGTCATGGATGCTTTAGCTGAAATTTCTGCATTGCAGGGGGTTGGACTAGATGACCATTGGGGTCACTTCCAACTCTAAGATTCTGTGATTCTATGATCTGTTTAAGATGCAGAGAGGCTCAAAAGATTTGAGGAAGGGCTAACTAAGGAGAGAAGCAAATAATGGCACAAAAGGAGCTGAAATAGGACTAAACACTTGGAGTTGGCCCAAGCTTAGAGCCTACCAAGCTGATGGACACATTACAAAGTCTCAGTCAGGATACTGTTTCTTAGCTCTGGAACATACCTGATGCCCCTGAGCACGTGCAGTGTGCATTTTCACCAGTCCCCAGGTAGCCATTGCCAAGTTGCCATGCGCCTGACATTTATTGCTCAGGCTTGCAAGATCAGGCAATGTGACTTCCAGACAAAAGTGAGACTCCGCCTTGGAGATTTCAGCCTCTCAATTCTCCCATCTGCGAAACGGGCAACATCTGACAGCGCCATCAGAGGGACAAATTTTAAAGTTTGCAAGGGATTCTGTGCACTTAAAAGTGTTGTGCAAAACAGAGCGGGACTATTCTGGGCCAACTGAAAAATCCATGCAGAAGGAGACTCTCATTTTCTTTCTTGCTAAAGGACACGGGTGGTGCTGTGGTCTAAACCACAGAGCCTAGGGCTTGCCAATCAGAAGGTCGGTGGTTCGAATCCCCGCAACGGGGTGAGCTCCTGTTGCTCGGTCCCAGCTCCTGCCCACCTAGAAGTTCAAAAGCACATCAAGTGCAAGTAGATAAATAGGTACCGCTCCGGCAGGAAGGTAAACGGCGTTTCTGTGTGCTGCTCTGGTTCGCCAGAAGCGGCTTAGTCATGCTAGCCACATGACCCGGAAGCTGTCTGCGGTCAAATGCCGGCTCCCTCAGCCAGTAAAGCGAGATGAGCGCCGCAACCCCAGAGTTGTCCGCGACTGGACTTAATGGTCAGGGGTCCCTTTACCTTTACCTAAAGGGCATAGCTTACCCTGGGACATTCAAGGCCTAGTGAACAAACAACAGCCAGCCCACTTCAGAATAATTTAGCTGCGAATAATCCAATTATATAGTGGGTGACCCTATGAAGACTTTAGGCCTTTGCTGCTTTGCTCCAACCAAATGTGGAATGTGTGGCCTACAGATTTTTCCCCGTTTTAAACTTTTGACCAGGCAGCTTTAAAACGGGCTCTTCCTCCTTTTCAAGGGGGCATCTTCTTCTTCTTCCTGCCTCTATTCCAGCTCCCCATCCCTGCGATTCCTTTTCTTCTCCAGCTCCCTCTCTCTGCACAGAGCCTAGCAGACAACAAAGCCCCCTCCCAGCTCCGATGACCTTTCTTGCCCAGAGTCACCGGCCAACCTCGCTCTGGACGCGCAGCCGCGACAGCCGGCAGCCGGGGAGGCAGCTTGCATAACAAAGGCGGCCCTCCCCGCCGCGCCGAGGCCTGGCGTCTTCCTCGCCCCCCGCCCTGCAGCGGCGGCAGCGACAGCCCATTTGCCTAACGTTTCCCAGCCCCTTCTATGTTTATCTTTTCATGCAAATGGGGCGCGGGAGGGACAGAAGGGAGAGAAAGAAATCAGGAGGCCAGACAAGCACGGAGAGAAAGCCTTAGAATCGCATGGCTGCTGCCCCCCACCCGCACTCATATCTATATATGTGTACATATGTGTGTTCTTGCAGTAGTAATGTTTTAAGGTCTTGTTTGTCGACTTGTCCATACGCCCAATTTCTTTGTCTCTATCCGCATCCACACGTACACGTGTACATAGATGAGTGTGTGTGTGTGTGTGTGCATACATACAGCATGCACACACTATATGTATGTATCTATGTGTCTAGACATACATATATAGAGAACACACGCTATACATATGTAGGTATAGTCCTATGCATGTATGTCTGTATATATCTCTGTATACACATACTTACGTATATTTCTTTATGTGTCTGCGTGCACGCTATTATGTATCTATGAATATGCATGCATATGTCTGTATATACATATTACAGTGCTTTTTTCCTTGGAGGGACGCATACCCCTAAACATTTTGTGAATCTACGTTTGGCCTCATTGGGGGGCAGTATTTCAATACCAATAGGAATACGAGAGTAATTCTTTTAGGGGGGAAAGCACTGTACATATAACACGCAAACATATAGATTTTGTGTGCTCGCGGGCGCGCGCTATATTTATTTTCATTTGTGTCCGCGCGCCTGTAAACGCTATAATCTGCAAGCTATGGATCACCGGAGCCGGAAGATCAAAACAATAAGCAAAATAATCGGTTGGTGTTTTGATCTGCCGGCTCGGTGGATGCGCTAGACGAGGCTTGACTCTCTCCCGTCTTCTCCCCCCCTCCCTCCTAGTCTTTTATTTGGCCCGTTGCTATGGGTTACGGGATCAAGGCCGGCCGGCTCCTCTCCCTCCCCCCCCCCGTCTCCCTCCCCGACAACCAGCCTCCGGCAGCGCTTGGGCACATGGAGGGCGCGCGGAACGCAGCAGCAGCAGCGTCCCCGCGAGGGGAGCGAGGGCGCGCGCAATGCTACTGCTGCTGCTGCTGATCAAGCGCCTTGCACACGCCCGCACTTCAGCGCGCAACATTTGCTGCTGCTGCAGGGGGGGTTTAGGGGAAAAAGGTCCAGCCATGTGGGTTGGAAGGGGGAGGCGGGGGATGGAAGAGTGGATCGAGGCCCTTGGAGGTAAGGAACCAGCAATCTTGTTACTCCAGGTGGTACCCAGAGGAGCAAAGACTTTGGGGCGGGGGGAGGGATGGAGAGGCTTGTTGAGAACTAAGGTAGTCCTTGTTTGGGTCCTCGGGCAGATGGTTAGTAGAGAGATTTTTCCGTGCGGGTTTGTGTGCCTTAACAGCAACAAAAAGTTAGGCAGTGGAAATCAAATCAGGGGTGTTGCTAAAGTCAACTGTCCCATCTTTATTTTTCTTTTTTTTAAAAAAAAAAATCCACCTGGAGGAGGAGGAGCAGCAACTAATCTGTGAGAAGGAAAGAAGTTATTGGAAAAGCGCTGCGATGGAGCCAATACTTGGGAAAGTTGGGTTTGTGGATGCGCGCCTGGTTTCGAAGTCGCATGAGTCCAGCAGGGAAAGGGTTACTTTGCTTTTGGGAAGTTCGAGACCCTCTCAGAAGGATACTCTCTCCTCTCGGTGTTCACCCTCTCTAACCCTCCCCTCGCTGCCCTATTTGTAGTTGTGTATCTGGTATTTGCTGTTCGATGTAGAACCGGAGCTAAGCCATTTTTAAGGGAAGAGTAACATTTCAGGCAAAAGGAACTATTCTGTCCGATTGTTTCGGGTTTGTATCAAATTAATATGAAAGAGAGAGAGAGAGTGCACAAAATATACAGAAGCAGTAGCACTTCTGAGCGTTTTCAAATAAATGAAGGAGGGTGTATAGAATTGTTTTTATAGATGCAGTGTACTCAAAAGGGGGAGAGAAAAACAATATGGTATTTTATAAATGCTGATTTTCTCTCTCATAAGTCTGGATTTTTAGCCTTTGCTAAAAAGAAACTAAACTATTGGGACACTTTACAATTTAAGCAAAGTTGGATGCATTGCTAAAGCAAGTATTCCTTTTATGCGTGAAAATACTTAGTTTCCTATGAAGGAAAACACTTTTTTTGGTTAATGTTTTTATAACTACCAGGAAGCAAAGGAGCTGAGTACTTTTTTAAAATTTACATTGGGGTGTGTGTGGAAAGACCCTAAACTGTTTATTTAAAATGAAAAATTGTGTATTGTTTCTTGTTTCCTGCAAAAGCTGAGTTGTTCCAAATACCAGGTTGTTGCAATATGTTTTCTGTAAGATGTGGTGTATTATGCCAAAAAGTGTAAAATAAAAAATAAAAATAAAATATTGCTCCTACTACCAGTAGATACTGACAAAGAACAAAAATATTTTTGAGCTGTTAGCCTGCATGAAATAATGGATAAATATAAACTTTGGAAATATAACATTTTTTCTCCTTTATATTTTGAATGTACACAAAAAGGGAAAGCATTAAAAAATTAAAAGCTGGGAATTAATTGACATTAAAAGGGGGGAATGTTAATGATATATGATTAGAAAACAAAATATTATAGTAAATCTCATTAACACACTACAAATGTTAGCCAGAAGCAAGTCAGCACCCTGCATTTAAATAAAGAATAAAATATTAAAATACTTCCAGGATATTTTATTTTGAAATGTGACAAAATTCAAACATTTTCTACACATATTAAAAAGGTAGAACACAGAAGAGTCAGCATGTAAATATTTCACTAATATTTGGTGTACAAAAAAGAAAGAAAGTCACAGTTACAGTGCGAAAGGCAGCTGTCCAAGGTATAGGAAGCAACTAATACACAGTAACAATACAAAATGTGAATTTGTGCAATGTGTGATAAAGCAAACAACACTCTGACCATAACAAATCCCAAACTCGAGACTGAATAAACTCTGAAATGATGCTCAGGCTGAAATAACTAAATATCAAATATCAAATGAGGAAATATCAAGTAAGTGCAATCACATCGATGTTGAGAGGTTTTTAGGCTTGGTATCTTTGCAGACTACTAAATCTAAAGTGCACAAATTGCTTCAAATTAACAGTAATGAGCACAGCTATGTCATTTTAAAAAGTAAACAATGTCTCCTTCCAGTTCATTTTAGTCACTGCTGCAGTTTTCCTATTTAATGTCTGTTGCTAATTTTTCAGCAACAATTCCAATCACTGTATATTTAATGGCTCAAATTATTACTATTATTCCAACAGCAGCCTAAATATATGTATCTTGCTGCTAGCTCCCTTTCAGTGATTGGGCCCCTGGATATTTTTGTACAGTTCAACAAAAATATTATCTGCAAGACACTTAATGAAGTTTACGTTGTGCAAATGCTGACATCCCATGCACACAAAAATCATTGGCTCGTGGTAGTTATCTGGCCTCCCCATTCCTATCCCCCCAACTCACCCTGGTCCTTAAAACACAACTGGAGTGTAATCCTATTCCTGACTACTCAGAAGTAAGGGTCACAGAGTTCAGGGAGGTTTCCTCCCAGTTACGTAGGCACAAGATTTCAGCCTCACTAGATTTGAACACAACTTATTTCCTAATAAATGTAATTTTGGATGGAGTGCCAGTGAAGTTATAGTGGAGCTGTCAAAACATACACAAATTAATTTATGGCACTGCCAAGCTAGATACTTTAAACATCTGCAGTGATACAGTAAGCTTTCATCCAGAAGTTTATTTCTGTTACTCACTGGTTAACGTGTTCCCTTCCTTCATCCTCCTGCAAGAACATTCACTTTAAAACAGAGTGTGTGTGTGTGTGTGTGTGTGTGTGTGTGTGTCCATGTAACAGCACATATTTTTTAATGATAGGCCTCTTCACAAGACACATGTTTCTTAGTCACACACACAAAAGTAAGACCTGTTGCCACAGTTAGGCAGAATTATAGCAGCATCCTATATATGTCTCAACTGGGATTTATTGCCAGGTAGATTGCAGGACTGCAGGCTGGGAGCAAGCCTAACTGAACTCAATCTGGCTTACTTTTGAGTAGACATACACAGAACTGCACTGTCATGCCTATTTAATTCAACCGGCCTGTAACTGGCCATATAGCATTGTACCCAAGCGTTCCCTTTCAAGGTGAAAGCTTAATAACGAAACATACTTTTCAGAAAACCCATTTGGTCATTTATTCCTCTGCTACCTTTTGACTGAATGGCGTTTTGGTTTTCTGCGTTGCAGCTGAGTTACGTAGTCAACACCACAGTAGAAAGACCACCACAGTATCACCATTTAAAATGCCAAATAAAAATATATTTTGTGGATTCCCAGAATGTTGATATTCCAAGGTTTCCCCACCCTTTCCTTTCCCTTACAGTGAACCCCACAGTATCACATTAAGAAATCTCATTGATTTAGGTGTTGTGGTGCAGACAGTATTTGTATCGTTCAATATAACAAAGGCTACAAAATGCATACATAGCAAATGAACAGGCTGTTTTGAAAACAGAGAAAAGGCATGCCTTGGAAGTTGGGTGCATGGTCAGTCTATGTCATCTGTAACTTTCAACCAAGATAGAAGCTGTGTATCTGTCATTGGAGTGATGGCAACACATAAATGATATTTCAGGGTTCTTCAGGAACTGTGTCTGTGCTTCCTTTACATCCATGGGAAATGTTATCATCACTGCTGTGTCCAAGCCCTGAGGATGAACTGCAGAGGGGGGAAAAGTGGGGGGGAGGGAGAGAAAGAAGAGAGAGGAAATTGGTTTTCACAACACACTCAAAGCCTGAGTAACAGAGGAGAACTTTAATTATCCCCAGTCACAAAAGAGAGACAGGAAATTTGGACTTTTAATTAGCCATTTGGAGTGCAGTTGGATATTTTTTTTAGCGAGATAATTTAAACGCGAATAATTCAAGTCTGACTAAATGAAATTCACATAATCAGAATGCAGATAATTGAATTTCTACTGCATTCATTAATTCAGTGTGGAGGTGTATGTGAAGACTTCTATGATGAGCTGTCACAGCTCAATAAAATCTCAGTCAATTAATTTTTTCATTATCTTAGCACTGCATCAACAACAACAAAAGTGAACTGTGTTTATTATCATATGTGCATGTTTAGCAAAATGTAAGGAAGTAACCTTTCGGAATCGGAATCTGCATAATTCTCCTTTTTCCTCCCTTCGTCTTCTACAGGAAACCGTCGTTTCAAACAGGCAAACTCGTGGATTGCGTCTTCAACAGAATATTTCGTGTGTCCAGATACACATGCCTCAATGTCCTCTGGGTTCAGCTGGGTTTGTACAAAGAGGTGAAGTCTACTGTCTGAAAGCAGAAGAGGATTCTGCAGAATCCTTTAAAGAAAATAAAGAGAAAAAATGAACCACCTTCCGATATCATTTTTTCAACATTGTCTTCCTTTTAAAAATATTTTAAACTTAACTTCCAATACAGTTTTGAATCCAGTATACTGTATATGTTGGCATGGTTGGATGTGTGCTTTTCTTTAATAAATTATTTGGAATTTTAGGTGAATAAAAGCATGGCACTAATAGTTTTGAACATCTGTTATAAGAATAATTCCAAGGGCATTTTTTCCCATTTAACCATCTGCTACTACCATGTGGATCAATTACTTTTTTGGCTGGGGCGAAAGGGCTGAAATAACATACTACTATGGAAACTGGTTCAGAATCAGTTACTTTGTATACACATCAAAAACATTACTAAGTATAAGGCGCTGTAAGATTTGGACCTTCAAATGCCTCTGTAAAACAGAAATCATTTAATGCACAAATGCAAAAAAATATGTATTTTAAAGATATGTACAAATTGAATGCCATGTGCAATTATTATCTACTTTTACACAGGTTGGGAAAGTAATTTGTGGAAGCAGGAGCAAGGGAACCTTACATTTCAGTGATTTTTAAAATATAATTGCAATACACACATTTAAAATAAAAAACACTCAGTTCTGCATAAAATGTTTAATTCAACTAAATGTGCAATTAGCACAAACTGTATTAAACAGTAACAGCATTCTCCCCCTCCCTGGCAGAACTAATCTGGTTTTTGCAAAACATTTTTGAAAATGCAAGTGGATTGCTCCCAGTAACTGGAGAATTAGGTCCTTAAAATACTACACAGATAAGCTTAGCTGTTTTAATAAATAGTTCATAGCATCCAGCCCCCAACTTTCATTTCTGAAACCAATCAAAGTAAACAATTTTCTCTAAGGGACCATTCGTTCAGTATGGCCAACTAAAGCCATCCCTTGCCTGCCCCACGGAAGGTTAGCATAAAAGCACATTCTGATTGTCTCAAGTGTCATTTGGCCATTAAAACTGGACAATGTTATTAAAATCTTCTCTCAGAAGGGTCCAGTACTTGATACAGTATAATAGGTCTTGAGCAAAAGCCTATCAAGTCAATAGATAGGCTAGGCCTGGAAATCTACAGTATTAATTATTATGAGGATTAAAGAAGGAAGTGGGATGGTTCCAGTGTCAGGTGAATAAAAGGAAGTGAGATGGTTAAGCCAAAATCAGTTATGTCTACCTGAAACAAAACAGGGGTGGCTATATATTTATCTGAAAAGAAAGGGGATGATCACCCACTCCACTTTGAGTGCCGTATATTCAACAAAGTTTTCAAATACTGCATTCAGGCAGGTTAAAAATGCCTGCATATACATCAGCTGTCCATGAGCACCAATGAATTAGGGTTCATTGCCCTGTGGCGAAATCCTGCACACAGCACAATCCTAACTATGTCTACTCGGAAGGCCTACTGAATACTCTGGGGCTTACCCACAGGTAAGTGGTGTTAGGAATGCAACCGAAGAGGATACTTATAGTCAACAGTAGATCCAATGAAATGACCGAACTTAAAAGTCACGGCTGACTTTAAGTCCGTTGTTTTCAATGGGTCTGCTCAGAGTGCAACTATACCTTTGGCCGTCAATATGCCACATGTTATTGAGCACTTTCAACTGCAATGAGGCAGGGGAGATATGAAGAATTAAGCAAATATTCTCTGGCTTGCTATTACCCTCCTCGCGGTGAGGGAAGCAGCCTTTTTCTACCCGCAACTATCCAAACAACAGCAAATCTCCAAATACCTCACTTGCTATGAGGTGCAGCGGTTAGCATTGGACTAGGCCTGAGGAGAAGGGGGTTCAAATCCTCACTCGGCCATGAAGCTCACTGGGTGACCTTGGACCAGTTGTTGCCTCAGTCTAGCCTCTACCTCATAGGGTTGTTGGGGATAAATGACGAGGGGGAGAACCATGTACACAAACTTGAGCTTCTTGGATAAAATGTGAGGTATAAATGAAATACATAAATAGTATATAGAGTATGAATGACTTTTCTGAACTCCAGCACATCTAAAGCCATGTGATATATTGAATTCTGTTAATAAACAAAGGATCAAATTGTAGCCAAAGTTAAGCACTTTACACTGAAGAAAGGGACCGGCTTGCTCAATTCTTCCATCAAACTCAGTAGGTCTTAATCTTAACTCAGAAACCTTTCTTGATGCCTTCAGTAGCTTCTATGGCTTCAAACCATAATTCACACAAAAAAGCAGTAGCGTTGGTTTGTTTGTTTTTTAAAAAAATGAAAGTATCATCGGTGTTTGCTTTCGAAATTTGTTGCAAGATCAGGAAGAACGTAGGGTTTTTTTAAACAACATGCTGACATCCCTATTTTTAAATTCAGAGTTTTGTAACAAAAAAGACATTTGAATACAGCATGCATGCAATTCAGTTCTTAGCAGGTTTTTTTTGTAATAATAATAAAAAAATGGTGCTATCAGTAGTTTGATTTTGCCACCCAACTAAAGCCTAAGTAACTGTTCATGAGAGTATACTCTGTTACTGCTTTGCTGCTGTTTGAAATGTATTTTATTTTCTTTATAAAATAATCGGTAATCTTTAAAATTGATTTTTGATGGTTTGAGGCGTTGCGCCACAAAAGTAATGAGCACTAATGTCAATGATATTGGACAGAAATTCATTTTAGCTTTATTTCGTGTCCAGTGCAATTCTGCTAAGCCTTGAACCGACAAAGCCCTGTTATTAACTTGCTGGTAACCTAACACTTGGGAACAGCAAACAGAAGTGATAAAAGCACAGGTTGGTCAGCACCTCAAGGCTACCTTCTTCCCCCCCCCTCCTCGTTCCCTGCCCCCACCCCAATAGCTATAATTCAATTTCCAATTTTATTTTGCATTAGGCTTGTTATTTTACAGTTATTCTCTTTTCTGCTTAACAGTGCCATCTGGAGGTTATGAAAGAAGTGAAGGGACCAGAAATAATAAATCAGAAAGACGCCCCTTAAACAACAGGTACAGGAACTTGGCAGCGCAAACATGTCAATGCTGAGTCAACCTGTGAACTGAAATATGGGTTTTGTTCACCCACATGCCCTAAAATCATCTTTCCCCCAAGCTTTTTATTGTGAAATAAACCGTGGGGCTCCGATATTTTTTGCATTAAGAGGGTCTACTAGTTGAAATGTATATAGTAAGCCCCGGGGGTTATGTTCTGGGAATCATGCCTAATGTCAAAATCACCTTAAAAGACCTTGGGTGCAATGGTGGGAAGGATTGCCAAAGTCTTTTTTCCTGGATGCCTGTGCCCTATTTTTATTATTATTGCCAGGCGCATAAATCTGAATGTGCACAAGTTAAATGCTGGGATAGCTCAGTCAGTAAAGCATCAGACTCTTAATCTTAGGGTCACAGGTTCTAGGGCTGGGCGATATCTGGTTTTCAACATTGTGATATATCACCAGCTAAACATCAGGATATACCGATATATCACAATGTCTGAATGAAGGACGGAGTTATGTAGAGGAATTGGCTGGCTTCAGAGTTTTTCCCCACATTGTGATTTTTGCTTAGCGGGTACACACACACACACACACACACACACACACACACACACACACACCATGTTTTGCAATATATTGCCAGGTCAAAAATTATGAAACCAGTATCATAGTATAGACTTCAAACCAGTTTTGGGTAATATATGATGCCCAGGACTAGGGGGTTCGAGCCCCACATTGGGCAAAAGATTCCTGCATTGCAGGGGGTTGGACTAGATGACCCCTGGGTCCCTTACAACTCTAGGATCCTAAGTTGCAGGCTTCATGCAGAACTAACCACAAGTAGCTGTAAATGTCTTGCTTGCCTGCCTCATATCTTGAGAGGAACACAGCACATGCGTGAAGGGGTCTGCATGCATGCTACTGTAGGCATATATGAGGGGAGATCCAGGCCCAATCAGGATCTCCTCTTTGCCTCTACATGTATAAACCCCTTTGGCATGCATAGAAGGTGGGAGAAATCACCACCCTTTATATCAGCAGTGAGGGTTGGCAGGGATAGCCAACGCAGTCATTCTCCTTCTGCATTCTTTCAGCACAAAGTGGGGTTGTCTAAACTGTGGTCTAAACCACTGAGCCTCTTGGGCTTGCCAGTCAGAAGGCTGGCGGTTTGAATCACCGTGACGGGTTGAGCTCCCATTGCTCTGTCTCAGCTCCTGCCAACCTAGCAGTTCAAAAGCACGCCAGTGCAAGTAGATAACTAGGTACCGCTGTGGTGGGAAGGTAAACAGAGTTTCCCTGCGCTCTGGTTTCCGTCATGGTGTCCCGTTGCGCCAGAAGCAGTTTAGTCATACTAGCCACATGACCTGGAAAGCTGTCTGTGGACAAACGCCAGCTCCCTTGGTCTGAAAGCGAGATGAGCACCGCACCCAATAGTTGCCTTTGACTGGACTCAACTGTCCAAGGGTCCTTTACCTTTTTCCTTTTTTTAACCTGGCTGATGGGAGCAGGGTATCTTTCAAGGAAAACACCCCAGGGCAAGAGACATGGAGAAAGAGGACTAAATTTTCACACTGCAGTTTGACGTTACCAGCCAAATCCAAAATGGCAACACCTGCAGAGCACCTGAATTTACAGAAGAACAAATAGATATATATGAGGCTTCAATGCTCTTATTAAAGTGGGATACAATCAAATGGTTTTACAGATTTTACATTTTCATACACACCTGTATGGACCCATGAAGGGCCTGAGGCCTGCTTAGTGGCCGCACTCTTCCCTACCTAGTGGTGGAAGGGAATACCAGTCTGTGCATGCTCAGAGGCACTCTCTGTTGCTTCTTATATTCATGGGTCAACATCCCGGCTCACATAAAGCTTGGGGCATTTGCATGCAAAGAGGCTTTTAAGATCCTAATCTCTGCTGGAACGGGAGCCTAAACCCACCTTTTGGCTCCTCCAAAGAACAGTTTGTGCATAAAGTAATCTCTGCGATGTTTGCTTTTAGACCATCCGCAGAGGGCTCAGGATGCGCGAATCAGAATGAATTCCTCCTCCCCAAGCTAAAAACAAGTATGTTTTAATAAAGGCAAAACATGTGGTTGGTCTTGTTTGGACAGAGGCCAAAATCTGGTTCTTTTCAACATGATTTTATTAGGTATATTACACACTGTTCTGTTGGAGGAGAGCATATGGCTGAGCAGCGCAACTTAATCCTAACTAAAGATTTCCTGTATCTTCTGTAACCCAATATAGTGACAGATGCAGGCCTGCATGTGTGCAGAAGGTTAACACTCTGATTTTGTTTTCAACAAATTTACTCAGCCCATTTACATCATATTATGATGGGAAGGCAGCGGAAGGGAGGGAGCTGAGGAGGAGGAGGTGAAACAAGACCGCAGAAACAAGCAAACACAGCCTGTGTTCTGGTGCCCTCTATTGAATGCACACACATAGATGTTTCAGCAGGAATCTTCGCGAAACGGAGGCTACAATAAAGTTTACCAAAAAAAAAAAAAAATGCAAAAAATAATAATAAAAGAATATTTTTAAGAAAATTGAAAACTGAAATGAGTTTTCCACGTGTAGAAAAAAAGGTAGCATACAAATTACATGTATGTTTTCAGGGTCTATTGTACTGACACCACCTAGAAAGAGAGAGAAAAATTCTTCTAGAGAATTGAGGCAATCCTAGAACTGTAGAGTTGGAAGGCCCCACAAGTGTCATCTAGTCCAACCCCCTGCAACGCAAGAAATTTTTGCCCTGCATGGTTCTCGAACCCACAACCCTGAGATCAAGGGTCTCATGCTCTACTGAGAATAAGGGGTTCTTAGCTGCCATTGGTTGAAAAAGCATGAAACGAGTTCCAGTTCTGGAAATTTCATTCAGTATTTATTGGAGAATTGATTTGTTTTCTATTTGGAGTGTACTGTTTGGATCATTCCAGTGTCTTGTACATAGTGTACCTTGTTTGTTATTATATAGTGGCCATGGTAGGTTTTGTTTCCGTTTGCTTTTTCCACTTACTATCTTAATTGTTTCCTGTGACTTTCTCATTTTGTTGCCGACATTGGAAAACCCCTTCTTGGTTTTGTTTCATTTACAAATGCATTCTCTTGTAGTTATCGCATGGAAAAGAAAAAAATAATAGCCATCCTTATAGTTTAGGGGAGAATTTGGGTCCCTGCCATTTTTGTCTTAAAATCCACAATTTTTCCCTGAGGTGGTTAATAGCAAGAAATCCAAGGAAGGGGGTTTGCAGAGGGGTTCTGACTGCAGGACCCCAATTTATGAAACAGTATCCCCATTCAGTGCCAAATTTACATATAAACTAAACAAGCTATAGCTTAGGGCCCCACTCTCTTGGGGGGCCACCAAAAGAGTTTAAAGGGGAAAAAACTGGATGTATATTTCCAAAATATAAGATAAAAACCAAATAAAATAAAACCTACATACAGCAACAGTGTTTTGCGTTGTGTATGGACCTATTAGGTCCATAAATTACCATATAGCATATATTCAACACAAAAAACGGTGACAATTTGTTGTTGACAAAGGACAGCTGGACATATTACCTTCAGTAGCTTAGGGCAGGCTTCCTCAACTTCAGCCCTTCAGATGTTTTTGGCCTACAACTCCCATGATCCCTAGCTAGCAGGACCAGTGGTCAGGGATAGTGGGAACTGTAGTCTCAAAACACCTGGAGGGCCGAGGTTGAGGAAGCCTGGCTTAGGGCCTCATCAAACCTAAATCCGGCCCTGTCCCCATGATGTTGTGGGCATTCAATTCCAGCACACATTCCACAACCCCCTATGTTATGCGGACTCACCCTTTCTGCAGAAAATCTGGTACATTTTTAAAAAACCTGTTGCTACTCTCAGCAATGGGCAGCGCCGTAATGGGGTGTGTGTGTTCCCGGGTGAAACCTCCGGAGGAGCAGCCTTGAGCCTCCGTATGTGTGTGTGTGTGTGCGCACACGTGTGTGTACAGAAATGTGTTTTTTTTGGGGGGGGGTGCCAAACTAAGTCTTTGACCCAGGAGAAGTAAAGCCTAGTTCTGCCTCTGGCAACAGGCATTCTTGGCTCGCTCCTCTGCCCTCTCTCCCATGCCAACAGGCAGCAGGAACTATAATGGTGCTGGAGAGAGCAGCAGTGGACCTACCTACGCTTCCACAACATTGATGGTTGTGTGGAGGTCTTCTTTCATTCCCTTTCCTTAGGAAAAGCAGTTTCCTTTAATTTGCTCCAATAAATGGAGACGACCCCCATAAGAGGCCAGAATTCACACTGCCAACTAGATCATAGACTGTGCATCTGTTCTCAAGGAGGGTAGATGTACCATCCTAGCCAGACACTATCAACAGAAATTTGTGTGGGGCCTGGACTTACGGTTTGGCATACATTCTAGTCAGGAACCTCTCACTCTCCTCCCTTTCCTCAGATGTGGAGGGGGGGGGCACAGAAAGTGGGAACTCGAACCCTAGGCTGCTTTTTTGCTGCCCTCCTCCATTTTTCCAGAGACTCAGACTATAAGCAGCTTCTGGCACCGAAACAGCCATGGCTATTTATAAAAGCTGCAGACCGTTTTATGTCGGTGCTGCGCTGGCTCTGCAGAGAGAGACAAAAAGCCTGTGCGTAAAAATTAATTAATTGGGAGCGCCTGCTCGTTCACTTTAATAAAAACCCAGCCTCTGGTTTAGATTTTCAAAGTAGGAGAACAGAGCATGTCCAATGTTGAGGGACATGCTCTGCCCCTTCCCTCAAGATTCTGGGCAGGGCATGCTCAGATTCCACTCGCCAGGAAAGCTGCAGGCCTCTGAACACCTTTAGCTCCTCTGAAACGTAAGGAGCTGCCTTTCTACCCATTTAGTTCTTCTGTCTCCTCAGGGATCCAGGCAGGGGGCAGGGAGTGAAACCAGGGACCTTTGGCAAGCAGGGAACCTCTGTCCACAAGCCCGCAAACCTCAACCGTGGGAACATTTGATCCAACCCCGCACAATAATTTAAAGCTATATTCACTGTAGAAAAACCAGTCTGCATAGTTGTCTCACGAATACAGGTATCCCTAATGCTATTCAGTCTTGTACGTATTTCTAGGGGTGAGCAACTGATGGCCCCTAGGGTAAATCCAGGGGTGTTTTGTGGCCCTCAGTTGATTGTGGCACTGAAAAAAGGGTTTTGTGGGTGGAGAAATGGCTTGTGAGCAGGAAATTTAGATGGGGCGGAGGTCCTGATCTAAAAAGTGGCACAATTTGGGTGCCCAAGAAGGCCACATAATTGCATTACGCAATTCAGAGGCTATTCTTATGTGAGGCTTCTTAATTCTAATTTAGGAACGTGCTTTCAATTTTCCTGTTGGCTGTAGTAGTTCTCTTACATCTCTGGGCTAAAATCGGTATGTTTATTTTGAGCATTTCTTCCCTTTCCAGGGAATTTGCACCTTGGAAAGGCTGGGAATCCCTTATTTATGAATTATGCTCCATTACACAATGCAACTCTCTCCTCTTCCATCTTCCTGCTCAACCCACGAGCCAAGGTACATAAATACAAGATCCCACACCCCTCACTACACATTGCACAGATGGGGGATTCCCCAGCCTTTCCAGTTTGCGACACCCCAAGGCAGATCCTCCATCAGACGATCAGCGCACTGATGTTTATGTGGCCACAGGATGGAAGGGAATGCTTGTATAAACACTGTAACAGGAGCTATAATCCTAGCTGTTTCTCCCAGACGTTATAAATCCTGCTTATGAATAAGAGTCCTCTGCGCCAGTAAAAAATGGCAGCTGCAGGCAATGAAAGTACATCAGGGCTCTCCCTCGCTGGATCTTTCCTAGGTAATCTCACTGCGGTGAAGAAAAATTATGGGAAGCTTTGTGGGACAGGATAGAAGCTAAAGGTGTGGAGGGGACAGGGGATCAAATATGAAATGAGGTTTATTTTGGCAAAAATAAACTGTTTTGAGCATGCCAATAGCAAAAACAAATGAGTGTAGTTATATAGCATTATGACAAGACAGTGCTATTCGCAGCCTCTAATACCAATAATACAATACAGTCGTACCTTCGTTCTCGAATGCTTTGGTACTCGTACGTTTTGGCTCCCGATCGCTGAAAATCCAGAAGTGTTCTGGTTTTCAAACATTTTCGGAAGCTGAACACCTGAAGCGGCTTCCGCTTGAGTGCAGGAGGCTTCTGCAGCCAATAAGAAGCTGTGCCTTGGTTTTCGAATGGTTTCAGGAGTCGTACAGACTCCTGGGATGGATTGAGTTTGAGAACCAAGGTTCCACTGTATTAGAATAGGATTGTTTTTACAGCTGAAAAAAGTGTTGGCCCATAGACCTGAACAAGATTCTTTTTAACTGCTGAACGGCCATCAATAATGGATTGGTCATGTGAACAGGGGTTGGTGAATGGATTTATAATCGTCGTAATTTTATATAAGAACATATGGGGAGCTCTGGTGCCGGATGTATGTATAAGCTAAACAAGCTATAGCTTAGGGCCCCACTCTCTTGGGGGCCCCCCAAAAAAATTTAAAGGGAAAAAAACCTGGATGTGCATTTCCAAAATCAAATTTACTTTGATAAAATACTACTTTGTTATGTGCAAATGGCTTGAGATACCTATTAGGTCCATAAATTACCATGTAGCATATATCCAACACAAAAAACAGTGACAAAGGACAGGTGGACATATAAAGGGCTCCATTACCTTCAGTAGCTTAGGGCCTCATCAAACCTAAATCTGGCCCTGCCAGCATCCCATTCTCTCAGTGGCCAAACAGATGGCCACTGTAGAGGAAGCCTGTAGACAGGATGTGACCGTTAGGACCACTGTGGACTTAATGGTCTAACAGCGTTAAGAAGCTCTGTTGAACAGAGCCCTAGACGTCTGCCCCAAGTCCGACCACGGTGGCACCACTGATTTTCAAGAGGGTTACTAATCGATTTCACCATTCCAAAGGAGAAGGTTCGACAGCAGCCGCATGTTTGCTGGACACAACCAAAATGATCACAGAGATGGAGCAATCCCCCTATGAAAAAAGCTTGCACCATTGGGGATTTCTCAGTTTAGAGTTCAGGAAACTCGGGTCTCCAGCTGTTTTTTGGACTACAACTCCCATCACCCCTAGCTAGCAAGACCAATGGTCGGGGATGATGGGAACTGTAGTCCAGAAACAGCTGGAAGCCCCAGTTTGGGAAACACTGGTTTAGAGAAAAGTTAACACAATAGACCTTTATAACATTATGCCTGGCATGAAGAAGGAGGGCAGAGAAGAGTTTTTCTCCCTCTCTCACAACCCTGGAACTCAAGGAAAGCCAAAGAAGCTGCAGGCTGGAAGATTCAGAACTGAGAGTACAGCTTCACACAGTGTATAGTTGAGCTGTGGAACTCATTGCCACAGGAGGCAATGTTGGACAAAATCATACAGAATAAAGCTTTCAATGGCTACAACCAATGATGGCTTGGCTCTGCCTCCACAATCAGAGCCAGCAACGCTTCTGAATACCACTGGCTGGAAGCCACAGAAGAGGAGAGTGTGGGTCTTGTGTTCAGGTCCTGCTTGGCGGTTTCCCACAGGCATCCGGTCGGCTACTGTGAGAACAGGATGCTAGACTGGATGGGCTACTGGCCTGATCCAGCATGTTTGCCTTATGTTCTTATGAAATCTGAGGACTATGCTTCTAATTTGCAGGTACATTAAAAAAGCAATTATAATAGAAGGTTGAGAAGGTGATTAAAGAAGAATGACGCAATAACATCAGGAATGTAATGGACATATGTTTGTAACGGGAGTGGGAAACCTATTTGGGGGGGGAATGTATTAAATTTAAATAATTTGGATGGATTTGTTAAAATGTGGAAAACTAATAAAAATTAATATTTAAAAAAGAGCAATTATTGCCGTGAAACTCCCATTGATGCTGCAATCCTAATCACAACACAATAAATACCGAACACAATACAATACCAAACACAATACATATGCTGCCTCTTTATTTAAGTAAGGCTTTAATATTCTTTGTGCTGCAAAAAAGGACAATTTAAGCCTCTTGCCTATTTTACGTCTGTTGAGCTTGCACCAGAGAGTGGCAATTTAGTTCCTTCACCGTATCACATTTCAAGAAAAACATACATACACGCAGTGCTGCTTCAAAGGGTAAAAGGGGGAGGGGATCCCAGAGTAAACAAAACGTTACAGGAATGGAAACAGAGTGTGCTCAGCATCTCAGCTACATTATGCAGCCCTTACCTGGGAGCTTGTGCAAATGCACAACTGTGGCCACAAGGTGGCTGTCGTGTACAAGGGATGAGGGCCCCGGAAATTAATAAGCTCATTAAAACAAGAAAACCACCAAACGGGAAGAAGAAGCAAGCGCACTCACTTTTGGAGGAACTGCTGCAAGCCTTGTCGGCGCTGGTCCACGTGTTGGGGGTTATTGGTGTTGAAAAAGGGCGTCCGGGCTGGAAGTTCTGGCAGTTGTCTTTAAAACACACACACAAACCAGAAAGCGTGAGTAGCCCAAAATGAAAAACATGAATAAAAATGCTTTTGTTGGTTTGTTTGTTAAAAGCGGGGCTTTTTTCCCAGCCGGAACTCAAGTTTCAGCACCTCTTAGGGGGGCGCTGTTGCCATTATAAGAGAACAAGGGAGGCGTTCCTGGTGAACACCTTCTTTTCTAGATAAATAGCACTGGTTAAAAGGATTGCTGAACTCAGATGGAGAAAAATGAAACAATACTGACTTGGGATTTCTATGGGCAACGACTTAACACCTGGCAAAGCTAATAGCCACACACTTTGACAGCAAACTTCAGAGTTGCAGCCATGTTCGCTTGTTGTGGCAAAAGCTATGAACCATTTGGGGGCAAGCTAATATTAGCTGATTAACACTGCAGCAACAGCTTCCATGGGCTACTACACTCTCCTTCATTTGATACATGAAGTGTTACCACCATCTATCTCTCCTATCCTTTACTCCTCCCTCCCTCCCTCAGCAATTAGGGTTTTTTTACATCGCTTTCTCAGCTTCCTTCCATCTTGCAAAACAAGGTGACATACATTTGGTTCCCAGGCATGGCTTATGCAGGCACTGACCCAGACCTCTTGGCTTCCATGATATGGAGGCCCTATGTGCTTTCAAGACCATAGTTTCAGCGGCAGAGGAGTGTTCTGAATGTGCTATCTGTGCGATGACCAAAGCCAGCTTCCTAAGAACAGTAGCTCGATTCAGACAGCACACAAAGCCATAGTTAGGAGAGCTCAGCTATGGCTTGGTGTGATGTCTGAATTGACAAACTATGGCCAGCAAATGAGAATGAAAAATCACAGCTTGTTCATGATTAAAAGGTAAAGGACCCCTGACAGTTAAGTCCAGTCACAGACAACTCTGGGATTGCGACGCTCATCTCGCTTTACAGCCGGCATTTGTCTGCAGACAGTTTTTCCGGGTCATGTGACCAGCATGACTAAGCCGCTTAGGCGAAACCAGAGCAGCGCACGGAAACACCGTTTACCTTCCGCCAGAGTGGTACCTATTTATCTACTTGCACCGGCGTGCTTTCGAACTGCTAGGTTGGCAGGAGCTGGGACAGAACAATCCCCCTGTCGCGGGGATTCAAACTGCCGACCTTCTGATCGGCAAGCCCAGGGCTCAGTGGTTTACACCACAGTACCCACACTAAACTGGGATTGCATGTGCATTGCTGAATGGGTGGGTATCCTTCTCATGTATGAGTGATGTTGTACCTTCCTCTGTACCTCGTCCACAAAATGTTCTCCTTCCTTTGTGCCATGTAAAAAAAATATGTTAAGTTGTTCTGGCAGAGGCCTGTCTGTTTTAATTATTTGCCAGGCACTTAGCAAAACGTTCAGCATCCTTTACCTTGCACAGCACTTAGCGAAACGTCAAGGACTTCATAAATAATACAAGATATTATTAATAGCACAAGAGACTTGGGAAAGGCAGAGGCACCACAGGGATGGTTTGAATGGAAGCCTTTGCTTCCCTCTTCTCCATGTTCCCTACCCTGCAAACATATGAAACTGATTATTGGTGCAGGGTCGGTCCAAGATATTTTGCTGCCCAAGGCAAAGGACAAGGAAAAACCCTGCACATCCTGCATGCAATAGCCAACTGAACTGGCATCTGAATCTTATTTCAACACTGGAAACAGAGCACGCCCTTCATTGCCCTGAGGGAAGCAGGCTAGGGAGCAAGGCATGTGGCACATACAGCACAACCTCCAGCATTTTATTGCCATTCCCCCAGCCCAACATCTCCTGTGCTGAGGGAGCTGCTTCACTCTGTCTATTGGTAGGGCCGGTCCTGACAAGGAGGCAAGAAAGATCAAGTGCTTCTTCTCCCCCACAGCACTAGATCAAGGCTATATTTCCTATTCCTCTTTCAGAAAAAGAATGAGGTTTTTAACCTACCCTCTGGGAGAGGGAAAAGGCTAGGTGTACGCTTTAATAAAGCAAGTTTCAGAAACATTTGGACATTGACTCACATTAGCGCTGCGTTACTCTGAAGTCTCTGGCGAAGCCACACGAATTCACGAAAGCGCCGCCGGACGCAAGACGTTTTCCTCGTAAAGCACATGCTGTTTGTCTGTAAAGAGACAGGACTTGTTCACCATGACTCGAAGATACACCACCTTCCCAATACCCAAGAACTTCGTTGTTTGCATCCATCCAATGGAGTGTGCCTCTGGGGGTGAAGTCAAACTGCTGCACTAGCGGCAAAAAAGTGAGCTTCCTGGGAAGCAAGTCTGGGCAGTTTGTATGAAGGTCCTGGGCGGCCCACATGACAAGACCTCAGCCTTGCTGATGTGGTCCAAAGGAAAGCAGCGCAATATGTCTGGCACCAGCTTAGCTTCAGAAGTTGCCGGAAGGAGGAGTGCAAGGCATGGCGAGGTAGCAAATGCTCAGCAGGCCCCTTTCTTAACCGCAGGCCTCTGTGCCACCTAACAAGAGCCTTCTAAAACTGCCCCTGAATGTCAGAATAGTGCAAATTGCTGGAGCTGCAACCCAAATGGAAAACGTGGAGGTTTCAGCCGATGTACTTGCCAAGGCCTAGAAATCCCCTTGATCCCAAAGAGGATTTTAGTTCCCAGACCAGAATCTGCAAACCTCGTCCCAAACAATCCACAGTTAAACAGAGAATCCAGGAGAACCTTGAATCAGATCACAGGAACATCTTTGCATGTGACTGCCAGGTTAAAATAATTAGCATCTAAAGCACAAGGCCATGTTTCCATCACAGTTCTTTTGATACATGTAAAGTTTGAGGAAGACTGTGGATGCTGTTGTGTGTAGCGACAGAACCAAACTATTAAAGTCTACATTTTTTTAAAAGCCCATCCAACATCCTGATTCTTACTCCTAGAAGTCTAAGTGCTTCCCTATATCTCCACCAATGTCCTTATCCTGTTCCATTAAATACAATGCAATTATCACGGATGCCAGTGATAGCTGCTTCATGAGACCAAGTCAGTCACCCAACTGCTTCCTGAAAGATAAAATGCATCACCTGCTCATGAAACTATGCCCCGTGTTATCACTCACGTGATTGCTTTTCCTAGTCTCACTAGCGTACTGGATTAAATCAAGAAGATTATTTCTCCTTACTTATCAAAACTCCAGACCACGGAGAGAAAGGAAGGGTTAGGATTATTCTCCAAACTGCAGCTTGAACAATCAGAAATGACACTTCTGTGCATGATAATAATAATAGTAATAATAATAATAATAATAATAATAATAATAATAATAATAATTTATTATTTATACCCCGCCCATCTGGCTGAGTTTCCCCAGCCACTCTGGGCGGCTCCCAATCAAGTGTTAAAAACAGTACAGCGTTACATATTAAAAACTTCCCTGAACTTCCATATTACATATTAAAAACTAATGCTAAACTTCCTTTCCACCCAATTTATGCCAAGAAATCAGATCTGGGCAAGTTGTAATTTGCACAAACCAGGAGCGGATGAAAAGAACTGGCATGTGGGAAAAGAGCAGGTATGTGTATTCAGACAAGAGGGTGAAATTCAAAAGGGTGGCTGCAGCCTTCAGACCATTACATCTGAAGCACGTAAAACTAGGGTACAGGATTCAATAACTACCCAATAATAAACTGCCTTAGCAAAAATATAAAGTTATTCGAAACAGCACTCCCCCTGGTGTGGGCCTGGAGTAAGCCTGAGTCCCTATGTACTTAAATAAAACTGCCTGTGTTTTAGTAGAAAAAAACAATACTCCCAAGGACTCTAAATGTATTCTTTTTAACTTCAGATACCTTTCTGCATCTGAAGAAAGGTGGTGGCTTCTTCTCCACTGGAGATTTTTAAATAGAGGTTGAGGGGTCATCTGTCAGGCAGAGGGCCTTCTCGGTAGTGGTGCCCGCCCTATGGAACGCCCTCCCATCAGATGCCAAGGAAATAAACAACCATCTGACTTTTAGAAGACATCTGAAGGCAGCCCTGTTTAGGGAAGTTTTCATGTTTGATGTTTTAATGTTTTAATGTCAGATGTATTCTAAAAGTCAGATAGTTTCCTGTAACCTCACTTCTCACAGTGAGGGAACCGCTAGAAGGCCCTCAATGCTGGACCTCAGTGTCCGGGCTGAACGATGGGGGTGGAGACACTCCTTCAGGTATACTGGGCAGCGACATAATTGGCACTTTCGTAGAAAACATCACAAGGCAGCACACAGACTAAAAACACAGCATTGCAATACAAAATGTCAGACACCATTGGGTTAAGAACTGGCTGGCAGGGGCCCTTTCTGGATTGTATGGCCAAACTTCTACTGGCAAGGAGTTCCACAGGTCAGAGCCTGCCACATTAAAGGCTTGAGACCACAGCTAAACCTGAAGGGCATGTGGAAACACCAAAAGCATTGCATCAGATCTGATAACCAGGGAAAGGATTGTGTGCGTCAAGACACTGACCGCCATAGTGCTGTGTCTCCTTTATTTTTATTTTATTTTCCTTTTCCTGCTGCCACCAAAACTGGTGGAATTGGGAGGGAAGGTGGCAGAAAAACGGGCTTGAGGGGCTGATCGGGCCCCTGAACTGGGGGTCAGCACCCCCCCCCCACAGACATCAGTTTAAAGAAACCGCTTGTCTCATGCGCTGTAAGGCACAGTTTGCATATCTACACAGCGATCAAAGGACATGGGCAAAAGTGCTGCAAAAGCATTTTCCCTGTAGCTGGTGTACTTACATGAATGAAGATCTCATAGTCTATATGTGAATGCCAGGAGTCTTCCTTTTTTATCCGAGGGTCTCGCACCAAGACCGTGACAAATTCCTGCAAGCGCATAATAATAATGAAAAAGTGGTGAATATGCAAGTTAAGAATCCTTCTTCTAAGAGAGTTTTGAAGGAAGCCGTTCCCAAGCCACTTCTGTTATCGTTAGCCAATGTCACAGACTTTAAATAAGGGCTCCGGAGGGGGGAGAAATAAGGAAGCAAAATGAAAAGCCATGACTCATCCTGCCTGTGGCACATGTCCGGAAAAACTACTTGTCAGGTCGCCAAAGGGGAATTTCTAAATTGAATAATGCAGTGTATTTCCAGCAAACCAATGTGTGATTATTAAGCTACAGTTTCAGGAATTTTCTGTCCGGTTTATGCAGGCAACAGCTGCTGCCGAACAGGTGGGGAGTCTCCTTAGAAAAGCCCACCTGTGTCGCTGTTGCTGAGCAAACAATTTAAGAAGAATGAAACTCAAAGGAGCAGAGAGTGCCCTCGGTTGACACTGCAAAGCAGCGGCTTAAAAGCATTTGTTCAAAGGAACAAGACCCAAATTCTTCTAACGTGAGGATTAGCTCGCCCCTGGCCATAGCTCAGTGGTTTGTGGGGGAAGGCTGCAGCTCAGTGATAGATCACACACAGAAGGTCCCAGGTTCACTCGCTGCCATCGTCTGGGAGGACCGGGAAATATCCCTGTCTGAAACCCCATAGAGCTGATAACAGTGTAGGGAACACTGAGCTAGATCACTCAGTGCTCTGACTCCGTATAAGGTAGCTTCCAATGTCTTCCTATGTGTCAGGTTGCAAGCCTGAGTTACTCCCATCCTGTGCATAGGACCAGTGCCCACATGACAATGAACAGATCTAATTCAGTGGAGCCTTCTTTCATGGGAACTGACACGTGGTAAAAGGTAAAGGACCCCTGGACAGTTAAGTCCAGTCAAAGGCGACTACAGGGTTGTGGCGCTCATCTCACTTTCGGGTCGAGGGAGCCGGCGTTTGTCCACAGACAGCTTTCCAGGTCATGTGGCCAGCATGATTAAACCACTTATGGCGCAACGGAACACCGTGACAGAAACCAGAGCACGCAGAAACACTGTTTACCTTCCCACCACAGCGGTACCTATTTATCTACTTGCACTGGCGTGCTTTCAAACTGCTAGGTTGGCAGGAGCTGGGATAGAGCAACGGGAGCTCACCCCGTCATAGAAATTTGAACCGCCGACCTTCTGATCGGCAAGCCAAGAGGCTCAGTGGTTTAGACCACAGTGCCACCCACACTGTATGCTCTGATTCACAAAGCTTATTGCTCATTAAGTCAATAAGGCCGTTCACACAAACCATTAAAACAGCAACAACAAAGCAGGTGCATGCAAAATACTTTGAACCATACTGAAATATCATTAAAATTATTCCATTACTACTGCTCAACATGTATTAACATTCATTATCATCTCAAATGGCAAGTGTCTTCCGCCTCCCTACAGCCAATGGAACAAATTTCACAGTCCTAAATGTCGCATAATAATCTTCTCTGGCCAATACACATTGATGATAATGATGATTCATAGATCACCCGTCATCCGAAGATCTCAAAGCAGTCCACAAGATAAAAATACAGAATGAATGCTGAAAGGAGAGCTGTTATTAGTAATTCCAACACTAAGGGGCTCAAGGTAGCAGATCCTCAGATCTAAATAGAAAGGACACTCCAATAAAAAGCATACCAGATCCTCTACCTTTGGTGATCTAGAATGGCAATGCTGAGCCGGCCCATACTGAACTCCATAACATTTGTTAAACTCCATCAACTGTACAGAATTTAGTCTCTTTGGTGAAAAGCCATCTCAGCTCCTGTGAGCAAGTAAGAGGCTGGTACAGAGGCAGTTCCCCAGGAAAGGGAAATATAAATTCCGTTGAAATTTACAGAGGTCTTGGAGGGGTAAGGCACCATCTGCTTCTAGATCAGGCACAGGCAAACTCAGCCCTCCAGATGTTTTGAGACTACAATTCTCATCATCCCTGACCACTGGTCCTGTTAGTTAGGGATGATGGGAGTTGTAGTCCCAAAACATCTGGAGGGGCAAGTTTGCCTATGCCTGTTCTAGATGCTACCATTCCCCTCTGGGTTTCCATCCCCACACACCTTTCCGTGCCACAGTTTGAGAAAAACCCAGTGAAAAACAGATTCCTTTCAGCGCATGAAAACATTGTTCAGATTCTCATATCAGGGCGAAGTCCGTTCTTTGAGCTTTGAGTTTAGTGCTCAAACCTACCAGTTTGTGGATATAATTGCTCACCCACAAATTGCCTCATTGAAGAAAACAAAAGATAATTGGGATGTGTGTGGGTGCGGGGCAGGAGATCAAACGAAACCTTTGCCTGGAGGCCACAGACTTTCAGTTAATCATGGCAGGCCCAACCATTTTATTTAAATGATCTGGCTTCACTATCTAAAGGGAAAGTCCAGGTGAAGCAAGAGGGGAAATTCAACTTTTATTTACATGATAAACCAGAACACTGTCAAAGGCTTCTATGCCTTTTCCCCAGCACAACGAAAAGAAAGAGAGAGAGAGAGAGAGAGAGAGAGAGAGAGAGAGAGAGAAAGAAAGAAAGGTATTTTGCTTTTCAAATAAAAAAAGCAATTTAAATGTTAGCTTAAAGCCTAATCCATTGAAAAAATGGAAAAACACGCAGTGGATGCCATTCGACTTCCAAGGCGCATTCAAAAACGGAAGAGATTACTTCTGGGTTTTTGGTGTTCGTGTTCCAAATTGATCAGCTTCCCAGAAAGTCGAAAACCGAGGTTCCACTGTAATGGGCAATGCTTTGGCTTATGACTTATATACAACTTATAACAGCTCTGTTTTTGCACAACACTCTTCCCCCTTACCTGACCTCCCATCATGGGAGTTGCTATGCCTTACCCAAGAGACAGGGAACAACACGGACCCTGCTGCCACCTCGTTCCTCCACCTCCCGGTTAAGATACAGTGACGCCAGTGATGGGACGATCAGGCGAGCACTGGCACCCGACCACAACTGCATCCTAGAGAACAAACCATAGAGCAGAAGAAGCGCAGCCAGCCTTTGCCTTCCTAGACAGGCAGTGCCTTCACCCTCCAGAGGAAGACCCCAACACCACTTGCCAACCTTCGCTATTGCTGTATGAAGTTTTAGCTTGAGTTGAAAAATGCAGGAAACCACACCAGGTAACACATTATGGAAAAACACACAGAGGGATTTTCTCCTGGGAATTTCCCCATTTCATTTCAAAGGGCCCTAGCTAGGTATTTTTTCTTTCGTACCTGTTGTTTTTATTGCTGGTAGGCTGGGCAGCTTTTTGTGTCTGTATTTACCCTCTCTCTCCGCTTTCTCTCTTACCTTGATCCTTTGTCCTTCTCACTCTCCCATATCCAGTGCTTAAACAAGCAACACATCTACCTTTTCTTTAAAAAAAAAAAAAAAGACTGCCTTCTTTAGAAATACAATTTTACAGCAAAATCCTACACACGTTTACACAGAAGGAAGTCCTACTATGTTTAAAAGGGCTTATACCCTAGTAAACGTGCTTAGGGTCAGGAAATGTGCTTCTCAGGAAGTCTGGGAGCAGGACCTGGGCGCAAAAGCATTTCCCTCACTTGTAATTTCCAGCAACTGGTACTCAGTTGTTCTAAGAATTCTAAGGTCTCAAATATAAAACAAGTGATCCTAAGTGCACAGGGTAAACACACTTACATATGTATATAAACCACAAGTCTCAAATACCACAGGAGAGGAATCCTGACGTCATCTTGACTCTTAACAACCCCAAATATTTCCTCTGGCCAAGGAAATAGACTGGGAAAAGCTCTCCTAGTGCTTCTTTTCCCTTATAAATCCTGTCTCTTGAGGGTATATTTTGTGTATGAACAGGGCAGGTCTGTGATCTGGATTCAAGAACTAAGGTATTTACCATCTCAAAAGAATGGCCGCTTTGGCCAGGTAATGAAATCAGTGACCATTATCCTGACTGATCTTGTCAGACATGCGACAAGCTACAATCTCAAATTTCAGGGAAGATTTTAATGCTTGATTTTGTATTGTGTTTTACTGTTTTTTGTGGGAAGCCGCCCAGAGTGGCTGGGACACAGAGCTTTGAAAAATTGAAAAATAAAGTGCGAGATTGGCTCCATTATTATCAAATAATGGAGGCATACAATTTGGACAAAAAGGTTGGTTTCCAGGTGGAAAAATCAAAATTGGAAACAGAATTGTTAGATTCCAAAATTAAGAATTTGTCAAAAATGTATAACTTGCTGTTGGAATGGAACACTCAGGATGAAACAGTGAAATCAGCTATGATTAAATGGGCACAAGATGTTGGACATAACATAATGATGGCTGACTGGGAACAGTTAAGGACCACAGGTATGAAATTTACGGCATGTAAGAGAAAACTAAGAGAAAACTTAATGAAAATGATTTATAGGTGGTACATGACACCAGTCAAGCTTGCAAAAATTTACCATTTGCCCGACAATAAATGTTGGAAATGTAATGAGACTGAAGGTACATTCTTTCACCTTTGGTGGACATGCCCAAGGATTAAGACATTCTGGGAGATGATTTATAATGAAATGAAAAAGGTATTCAAATATACCTTTCTGAAGAAACCAGAGGCCTTTCTCCTGGGCATGGTCGGCCAATTGGTGTCAAAGAAGGATAGAACTTTTTTTATGTATGCAACACAGCAGCAAGCATACTCATCGCAAAATATTGGAAGACACAAGATTTACCCACCCGGGAAGAATGGCAGATGAAGTTGATGGGCTATATGGAACTGGTGGAAATGACTGGCAGAATCCGAGACCAGGGAGAAGAGTCGGTGGAAGAAGACTGGAAAAAATTTAAAGACTATTTACAGAAATACTGTAAAATTAATGAATGTTAGAAAAAAGTTGGAATGAAGTTACATGGCTTTAGTAGAAATGTTATAAGGAATTAAGTATAAATAGATTAATAGAGTATTAAAGGAAAAAATAAGGTTAGAATGAGCTAAGATAATTATAGGATAGAAAACAGAGGAAGATGGAATTGCATTGCTGAAATAATTAACAGAAGTGAAATACAAAAAGGGAGGTGTGAGGAGGTCGTGGAAATAAGTGAATGAAAGATGGGAGAATTAAATTGTTTGATTTATTTTATTGTTTTTTTATTTTATTGTTTATTTTATTGTTTTTGTTTTAATGTATTGTATTGTATTGTCTTTTTAGTGTTTACATTTTTTGAAAAGTAATAAATATTATTTAAAAAAAACAGAGTGGCTGGGACAATCCAGTCAGATGGGCGGCATATAAATAATACTATTATTAAACTGTTGTAGCTTGCCTCTTTCTGTAACATGTGTGATGCTTTGGGTGGTCTTTGGTGAAGGGGCTGGGCAATTTCTAAAGTCTTTAAAACTCAATAATAATAATAATAATAATAATAATAATAATAATAATAATTTTATTGCACACCTTTGTTCGGTGTCTTCGCCTCCTTGCAAGGGGGCGGGGGAACTCTATTGCAAAATAAAGATAATGGACGTAGGGGACACTTAAATCCTTTGATGGAGAGTTGGGCTGTAAAAGCCAACCCCAAATTTTAGCAGTGTCTACTACTAGTATACATCACTGAACATCTTATCTTCCGTGAGATAAAATTCTTTCAAAGCTGTCCAAGCTGGTGGCCGTCACTGTTTACTGTGGGAGCGAATTCTAGAAGTGTGCACAGTATGAGCAGCAAAGGATTGTTGTGGCTTCTCAAGAGATTAACCAAAGCAACAACCTCCTTTCACCAGATACATGAAAGAGATTTCCAGAAGAGCAGCCAAGTGAGTCTGGGCAGCAATAAAACCCAAAGAAATAGCTTTTGAGGCACCTAGTCCCATGGACTGCAAGAAGATCAAGCCTATCCTTTCTGAAGGAAATCAGCCCTGAGTGCTCACTGGAAGGACAGATCCTGAAGCTGAGGCTCCAATACTTTGGCCACCTCATGAGAAGAGAAGACTCCCTGGAAAAGACCCTGATGCTGGAAAAGATGGAGGGCACAAGGAGGAGGGGACGACAGAGGACGAGGTGGTTGGACAGTGTTCTCGCAGCTACCAGCATGAGTTTGACCAAACTGCAGGAGGCCAGTTTAAGCACGAAGGAAATGATTTCTAAGATGTTCCTAGAATCATAGACTTGAAGAGTTGAAAGGGACCTCAAGGGTCATCTAGTCCAACCCCGTGCACAATGCAGGAATCCTACCCACAGCCGTCCCTGGATGGACTTGACCCACCAACCTTCTCGTTAACAGCCAGACACACTATGATTTATTTATTTATTTATTTATACCCCGCCCATCTGGCTGGGTATCCCCAGCCACTCTAGGTGACTCCCAACAGAATATTAATAATAGAAAAGTGACAACATCAAACATTAAAAACTTCCATAAACAGGGCTGCCTTCGGGTGTCTTCTAAAAGTCTGACAGTTGTTTATTTTCTTGACATCTGATGGGAGGGCATTCCACAGGGCAGGCGCCACTACCCCTGGTTCCCTGTAACCTCACTTCTCGCAGTGAGGAAACCGCCAGAAGGCCCTCAGAGCTGGACCTCAGTGTCCGGGCTGAACGATGGGGGCAGAGACGCTCCTTCAGGTATACTGGGCCGAGGCCATTTAGGGCTTTAAAGGTCAGCACCAACACTTTGAATTGTGCTCGGAAACGTACTGGGAGCCAATGTAGGTCTTTCAGGACCGGTGCCACAGGTTGTGTTAGTATTACATTGATATCCCACCTTTACTCCAGTCAGCTCAAGATGGTGTACATGGCTCTTCACCCTCCTCATTTTCTCCTCACAATAACCCTGAGAGATAGGTTCAGCTGAGAGATAATGGCTGGCTCACTTCATGGCTGAGAAGGATTTGAACCCTGCATTCCCAGGTCCTAGTCCAGCACTAACAGCTACATCAAACTGGTTCTCTAACCTTAAGTACACTTGGCACAAAAAACTCAGCTAGAATGTTTTCGTAAAATGAATACAGAATATATTTGCATTACCTTGGTTGATTGTTTTATTTGCCATAAATTACAGTACCTAATATAAAAATGAGGTTTTGCAAATGAACTGAATGGTGGCAATCAGCGGTACCCAAATCGGGAGAGGGGGCAGAAGTGAGGTGGTATTTTAAATTCTTTGTTACTCAAGAGGAATTCCCCTCCAGCCTTGCTTCCCCAGTCTTCTAAGGAAATAGAGGTTAGCACACTATTCCCACTATTGCTACAATGATTTTAGCAAGGCTGTGAAATCCATGAAGGGATGGAGAGAAAGATGGTTGCCATTCTGTGCTTCGAGAAAACCCATGTTCTAGAACAAGCACTCAGAGCAACACACACTTTCGCTGAGGAGCTCTCTACATGATTATGCATCTATGGCAGAGATGCAGAGGTGTGGGGGGGAAATGGCTCTCCTTCTCCTAACAGTCCTAGCCAGGGATGATGGGAGTTGTAGTCCAACAATATCTGGAGGGCCACACAGGTTCCTCAGTGCTGATCTATGACTATAAGCAGCAATAACAGCTAAGTGACAATCTAGAACAGTGTTTTGCAAACCTGAGTCCTCAGCTGTTTTTGGACTACATCCCTAGCTAGCAGGACCAGTGGTCAGGGATGATGGGCATTGTAGTCCAAAAACAGCTGGAGGCCAAAGTTTGGGAAACACTGGACTAGAATGTTAAAATTAGTATTCTATGGATATATATATATACATATACACACAGACCAGAAAAATAATACCAGGAAGAATATTAAATTTGCAGTGAGTAAGCATTATAAGAAATGGAAGAAAGAAGGAAACAATAGATGATACATAGACTTGTGTTTTGCAGATTCATGGAGCTACAAACTACTGAGTAATCTGAGAAACAATTAGCAATGGGGAAAATCAGAACTAGCTGCCTCCTTATCTTCCCCTAGCAGCTGAAGAGATATAATAATGGCCAGAGTTATGCACATGAATTGAGCAGACCCAAGTTCAAAACGACTCAGATATGAAACTTTTGGGTAGCCAGGAGAAGTTATTCTCTGCCAACTGAGGCCACACCAAGAAGCCTAGCTTTTGGTACCCTGAAAAATATAATTTCCCCAGGCCCTGATAGACATCAGGAGCCCTGGGAAAATTACATTTCCCTGCCACCTGCTGCAGTACTGCCATAGTAGGGAGACACATCAGGGACAGAACAGAGTGGTGGCCAGGTCAGCGGAAGGGACAGCACAAGGCAGGCTCCAGAAACCGGAAAACTCTTAGTCAGATTTTGGATGATTGGCAGCCAGTTAGAAAATGTGCAGACTCCAGGAGAGGATGCACCTCCACAGGCACATACCTCCACATGTGGTGGGAGTGTCCTGAAATCCAACTCTTCTGGACATCAGTCATACAAGAAATATGCAAGATAACTAAGCAAGTATTAGAAGTCACCCCAGAATGGGCCCTACTAAACACCTTCCAAGATAATAATGCCCACTCACATTATAAAGAGCTCATAACCCACCTACTCTCAGCAGCCAGAAGCATCATAGTCAGACACTGGAGAGACCCGTCAGGAGTTAAGCATGGACGAATAGTATCAAATAGTATGGGAAACAGCCTTATTGGAAAAATTAACCAATACAGCCGTACAGTGGTACCTCGGTTTAAGTACTTAATTCGTTCCAGAGGTCCGTTCTTAACCTGAAACTGTTCTTAACCTGAAGCACCGCTTTACCTAATGGGGCCTCCTGCTGCCCCCGCAGCATGATTTCTGTTCTCATCCTGAAGCAAAGTTCTTAACCCGAGGTACTATTTCTGGGTTAGTGGAGTCTGTAACCTGAAGCGTATGTAACCCAAGGTACCACTGTACCTTGGTTCTTGAACGGAATCCATTCTGGAAGTCTGTTTGACTTCCGAAAACATTCGAAAACCAAAGCACAGCTTCCGATTGGCTGCAGGAGCTTCATGCACTCACTCGGAAGCCATGGAAGCCGCGCCGGACGTTCGGGTTCCAAAGAAAGTTCGCAAACCGGAACACTCACTTCCGGGTTTGTGGCGTTCGGGAGCCAAAACGTTCAAGTCACAAGGCGTTTGAGAACCAAGGTACGACTGTAAACCGAAACTGATACGGGGACAAATAGAAGACGACGCCTTCACTCCAGTATGGTTCCCCTTTATCACATACATAGCCCAACAAGACAACAAAGAATCTGTCGATAGCATGCGAATCAATATGGCTAACCTGATCCAAAAATACACACACACTCCCACTCACACACAAAAACAAATCTCACTACAGCCAACCAAAGACAACCAACCATACCCTTGGCCACCCCCAACCTCTCTCACCACCAAGGAAATATAACAAGTGAATACAGTAGTAAGAGAACGCATACAAGTGATGCTTACACAAGACCCCACACATACACTAAGCAGAAGAATAGAAGCGTAACTACTTGATCCCACTCCCATTCCCCACCCTCGCCCTCTTTTCTTCCTAACCTAATACTGCATGCAACACTAATGTCTCACTACAAACAAAACTGATCTGTAGAAAACACAACTTGAAAAAAAAGACAATGCACGTATTTTTGTAAACTAAGAAATCTTTAATAAAAATATATTTTTAAAAAAGAGAAAATGTGCAGACTTCAGCGCACTCCTAAGATCGCTGGAGGCACAATCTGGAGCAATCCAAACTATTTACTTTTTCTTGTCTTCCTGTTTACCGAGCCTAATTCCCAATCAAGCCAAGGGGTGTTTCTCTACAAAAAAAGTGGGCAAGGAGCGGGGTGTGTGGAAAGCCTAGCATGTCACCAATTGGAGGTCAATATATTGGGGGATGCGGTGTGAGAACAGTAGAGCAGAGGGGAAGTGGACTGGCCAGCTACTACCGTAAGCAGCAGGCCACTGAAATGGATTGGAGAAGTGGCAACCCATCTCTCAGGCAATTTTCAAATTTGCTAACTTCCCCAAACTACACCTGCTGTACAAAGAGCAACTCCATTTGTGGATTCCATGTCAATTATTTCCTCACAAGCTTGCCAGTAATGAGCAGGACCTTAAATGAAAAGCGAAAGTTAAAAATTCCTGCTTCCCTCAAAATACAGTAATCTTTTGCAGCCTGGGGACTGTGTTGCCTTGACGACATTCTGGGGGCCAGAGCCAGAAGCAAGGGTCAGAAAATGTAAATTTCACCTTGGTAGGTTTGTTTTTACGACTCTCTCTTATGAGGTCCTATGACTCTCTCTTATCTTCCTGCCAGACAAGCAAGAAGCATGAGTTCAAGGAGACATTTCAATCAAGCAAAAACACTCAGAGGGCGGAAAGGCTGGGAGGGAGGGGTGTGGCAATAATAATAATTTATTATTTATACCCAGCCCTTCTGGCTGCGTTTCCTCAGCCATTCTGGGCGGCTTCCAACAAAAAAATTAAAATACAATAAAATATCAAACATTTAAAACTTCCCTAAACAGGGCTGCCTTCATATGTCTTCTAAAAGACAGATAGTTGTTTATTTCCTTGACATCTGGTGGGAGGGCGTTCCACAGGGCAGGCGCCACCACTGAGAATGCCCTCTGCCTGGTTCCCTGTAATCTCACTTCTCACAGGGAGGGAACCGCCAGAAGGCCCTCAGAGCTGGACTTCAGTGTCCAGGCTGAACGATGGGGGTGGAGACACTCCTACAGGTATACTGGCTAGAAAGGAGCTGTGGTTATGAGCGGGTCTCAACGTGTGGCTTGGAGAGGACCTGGGGCCCGAGATCCCCACCCACTTTAAAAGACAGACAGCAGTTTTTCATTCTAACTTTCATTCACTGAATCAACAGCTCACAATAAACTGGCATTGCTATGTTCCTAACATTAGCCCTAAAGATGCTCAGAAACATCAAGGTGTCGCTCCGTATACAATTATAACCACATTATTTGCCATTAGCAGCATGTGATTTTGGTTCTGTCTCATTGAACCTAAATGTCCGTTTGGTTTGGGCTCATTAAAAAAACAACAACACCAGGCCCATATATATACGTATTATTTCTACATTTGCTGCTTGCATGAATGAACTACAAATTCTTCTTAATGCCACTGTGCCTCGATTCCAATGCCTTTTTAATGGGAAGATCCATCAGCAATAATGTAACAGGGGTTCTGCATTTTAAAGGCTGTTGGCTGTTGCCTGGCCCCAAACATTTAACAAGGGCAACTTGGGACTCCCTCCTTGTGGGCTTATTTGCACACACAAAATTGTTTTGACGAGAGAAACGAAGCTCCCGATTTCCTCTTCGTTAAAGCCCATGTGAGAGCAATGTTGGCGACAATTAGGAGGGCCGCCGATCAGTGGGAGAGCACACACTCAGCCCCCCTAGTCTCCAGTTAGCAGGATGTTAAGAAGTCAAGCTGAGAATGACCTCGTTCTAGGAACTACAGACCCTCTGTCAATCAATGGAAACAGCGCTGATCTACGTGAATGAACGGCCTGACTCAGGATAAGCCAGAGGGTGCACATGCCGTGATTGTGCAGAACCATGAGATGCATTCATTGACAATATCTCCCCTAAGGAGTTTGATGTGATATGCACGGCATCCTCTTTCATCTTCACAATCCTTTGAGATGCATTAGGCTGTGAGACAGTAGTTGTGTTCACGCCAAATCATGGTTTAGTGTGAACACAACTACTGTCTCACACTAAACCATGGCTCAGTGTGAATGAGCTAGGTCCTGGGGGAGGAGTTTGCAGCCCATTTGCTCCTCCCTGGTTGTCACGGACTGGTTGGATGCAGAGAAACCAGCTGGCGAAGGCTCAGAGCTCGGGGAATGGTGGTGGGACAGCAATGAGTGGTCAGAGGGAGAAGCGGGAGCAGACTGGGAGGAGGTGGTGTCGGAAGCTGAAGAGGTAGCTGGGTTTACTGAGTGGGGGGAAAGTCTGCGGCAGAGAGAAGTCCAGAATGAGAAGGAGGAAAGGAGGGAAGCCAAGAGGCAGAGAAGAGGCTGTCTGGGGAAGAGGCACATGTGTCTCTCCCTCCTGCTGCAACAAGCCCCCCTCGTCTCACAGAACCAGGAGAGGCATGAAAAGAGCTGAGATGCTAGCTTCACAGAGGCGCAATCTCAGATTGCTTGGGTGGGGAAAACCCTGAAGAGGAGGGGAGTTAAGCAGCTGTGGGAAGTCGGGCACCTTCAGTCTCCACAACTGCTTGAGGGGCAAGTCCTGCTGGAGATGAGCTGCTGTGCTCATTAGGCCTAACCCTCCTGTGCAGATCCTGTTTTTGCTAATGGTTAACTCCAACTTGGTGTAATTTACTGCTGGCTCGCTCCCATCACTGGTCCTTTTAGCTCAACACAGCATAGCAGCTGAGCCAAAGGTTGGCTTAGTACGAGATCCAAGAATCTGGGATCGCAGTTAAGGTCTCCCCTCCTTAACCACAATCCTTAGGTTGGATGACACTCTGAGTCTAACCTTGGCTTAGCTGCCATGTCACGCCGAGCTAAAAGGACCAAGGAGGAGCGTAGCAGGCGTCAGCTCCTGTCTAGGAGCCAGTCTGTACACATGGCTCTTATAAGCCAGAGGTGGGGAACCTTTGGCTGTCCTGAACTACAACTTCCATCAACCTCAGCGACCATGGCCAATGCCCAGGGATGATGAGAGCTGTAGTTCAGCAGCATCTGAAAGGTCAAAGGTCTCCCAAACTTGCTTCCAAGCACTGAGGAACAGCCTATGTCAGCAGAATTGTCTTTTGTTGTGACCCCTGCTTGCAAAAGAGCCAGATACTTGGGACTTCCCCCATGCGCCGCATTACAACATACAAGCCAGGGGGACTATTTCTGCCATCTCTTCATTCCAGCAATTACACAACCTACTTCGTCTCCTAAGATGCTACCCCAGATATAAGCTGCCCTGTTTACTCAGTGCTGGTTGGTGATATAGTCACACCCAAGGTGAAAGCTGTTCGCTGAATAGTGGCTGATCAACGCAGAAGCATTTTTGTAGAACATTTCTGCTTTTAGTAGTATAAAACAAAGTTCCATATTTCTAGGAAAACACCCCCTTCCAAACTAAGAAAGCAACACACACACAAATTGAGGCACTTACCTGTTTTTCATGCTTTGGCGTCATCTTGCAAACTGCATGTGAAGTCTTTCTAAAAAATAAAAGTGGCAAGCCTAAGTAATTAACACTGAAAATGGATTAACAACAACAAAAACTACTACTACTACTGAGCTGTATTGAATGTGATACTTTTGTCCAAATTGAAAGGGGTTCAGAGGAAGGCAACAACAACAAGCAGGGCAACGGAAAGCAATTCTTATGAGCAACAATGGAAAGAACTGAGTATCTTTAGCCTGGAGAAGGAAAGGTTGAAGGAGGAACATGACGGCATTCTTCAAATAGCTGCATGGTTGACACACAGAAGAGGGCACAGACTTGTTCCCTTGTGCCCCAGAGGACAGGGTCAGGTCTAATAGAAGGGTAGATTTGGGTCAAGCACTGGAAGAGCTTCCTGATGGTCTTATTAATGCAGCCTAAAATTGCATTAGCCTTGCAAGGGTCTTCAAGAGGTGTGCTTAATTAAGCCTTCCCTGTACCTTTCTACAGCCTCTTCTGTCGTGTTCTGCTTGTGGAAGTTAACTATGGTTCTCTGACATAAGGTAAGGTGCATTGCTGAGAAAAAAACTTGTTCCTTGAACTGTGGCAGGATCTACTCCTTATGGGAGGTCACAGGCACTATGAGGTTCAGGGGAGGAAGAGAGAGAGCAACTCTGCCACTTTATAGGATTTCTAGAGCCAAACTACTTCTCAAATTTCATTCCATGCTCCTGCTAAAGCCGTGCTGTTAAAAAGCATCTTTTAGGTGGCTGTTTCTCCCTTGACCACCGATGAGAACATTTCCAAGAAGCCACTTCCCTCATTCATAATAATGAACTGAATTTACTCAGTTTAAGGAAGGTCATTTAAAAAGCGAGTTTACATGGTGCAAAACCCCGCACTGCTTACATATAACTGATCGACACAACCTTGGGCAGCCTAGAGTTAGCATGTTCCCCCCCCCAAAAAAAAATCCTCCAGGATCAGGAAGGAATTTCCAAGGGTGTGCTGACAGTGACACTTTCTGCTGCAAAAAATGAAAATGAAACAGGACTCTGCACGCTGAGATGTGGCAACCAATTTACTGTTTTATTATTTAATGGTGGAAGAAACTTATGTAACATTTTGGCAATTCCAAAATAACTCACAATCTTTAAGAAAATACGGGACAATGCATTTCCTTCCTCAGTATTCTTATCCCATTGCCCAAAGTTGAGAATCAGGAAGCTCAGCGTGCGCCCAGACAAAGCCTGAAGCAATCATCAAAAGAAGAAACTTTTCACAGTTTTGCAACTTTCTTAGGGAAAACCACATAATGGGGCTTCCTTTCAACATCAGACGAGGCTGGGAATAGGCCACTTTAAATACTGATCAACTGTTTTTCAAGCTACATGGCAATTTGGGCAGGGCAGAAAGGTTTTCTGCATGAGTCTTCTGTTGTGCTCTTTGCAAATGCTGGCTTAATGCATGTGTACTTAGTAACAAGCTCTGAAGGGATCAAGCACACTCTTGCCCATTTGCAGCTGGGTGCAGGAGTTAATGAAGTCGAAAGAACAGCATAGGAAAACAGAGGCTTAAAATAAAGTCACGGGTGTTGCGCCGAGAAATGGCTAAGAGCAACAAATGAGAAGGCTGTTGATTCTGTTGTTTGGCGCCTCTTCAGGGGTCCAGCACAAGTAGGGGAGATGAAGGCAGCAGACATTTATATTCCTGTAAGACAGAGCTTTCCAAACTTTTCATGTTGGTGACGCACTTTTTAGACATGCACCATTTTGTGACACGGTAATTCAGTTTTACTAGCAAACCACAGGTTAAACTAGGCATAGGCAAACTCAGCCTTCCAGATGTTTTGGGACTACAGTTCCCATCATCTCTGACCATTGGTCCTGTTAGCTAGGGATCATGGGAGTTGTAGTCCCAAAACATCTTGGAGGGCTGGGTTTGCCTATGCCTGGGTTAAACTAACCCCTTTCCAGCCCTGGGAGGTGCATGGGGAGTGTTCTTGCGACACACCTGCACAATGCAGCCAACATACATTTTGGAAAGCTCTGCTGTAAGAGTCTGGTGTGTAGGCATTAAGTCAGGGTTTTCCAGGAGCAAAGCCAAGGCACAAAGCTGCCCTGCAGGTCGGCTCTCAAAAAGTATGCAGATCTAGGAAATGGGTATTGGACATTCTTAGCACGCAGTAAAAGGGATCTGCTAGGCAGAAATATCCTGCCTATAGAGTTTGGATTTGATATCCCGCTTTATCACTACCCTTAGGAGTCTCAAAGCGGCTAACATTCTCCTTTCCCTTCCTCCCCAACGACAAACACTCTGTGAGGTGAGTGGGGCTGAGAGACTTCAGAGAAGTGTGACTGGCCCAAGGTCACCCAGCAGCTGCATGTGGAGGAGCGGAGACGCGAACCCGGTTCCCCAGATCACGAGTCTATTGCTCTTAACCACTACACCACACTGGCTCTCCTAGGCTTCTCAGAGGCATCTGGTTGGCTATGCTGAAAAACAAGATGCGAGAGACAGTGTGTGGTCTGATGGTTAGAGTGTTAGAAACTGAGGTTTAAAAGCTGGGAGCCAAATGGCAACTTAAACCTCGGCTTCAGTCACCACAACAGAATGCCTAGGTGCCCCACAGACCAGCTGATCTGTGCAGCTGTCTTTGGGGGCCGAGCTCCTGTGCAAATTGGTTGGCTTGCACAGAACCAAAAGGTGTGTTTCATTTGGTGCCATGCTGCCCCACAAGCCAGCTGCCTGGCAGCTGCACCAGCTAGCCAGATGGAGATGCTAGTGGCCAAAATGTGGCGACCAGACATCTCCAACTCCTTGCAAAAGGCTGCTTGGGCCTGTCGTGAAACGTGACTGGCACCCGGTTAGTTTCCATCTCTGGATGGTTGGATTATGGCCCGGGAGACCAGGGTTTGAATCCCCACTCAGCCATGCAGCTTGCTGTGTGATCTTGGGACAGTCCCTGTTAACATTTCTATTCCACCCTAAGGAGCAGACGTGTGGAACTGTTGCACGTCACATGTCTGTTTACATTCCAGCACAGCTTGCTGGGAACTTCCGTTGCGTGTATAGCTTTTGCTTATCCTGTTCTATCTCAGAAGACGAGAGAGAGAGACATGTTTCTTTGTCCTGATTTATGATTAATAAATCTGTAGTTGTAGTATGCTTTCGCAAGCCTCACGCCTATTCTGTATGTGCAGTTCGCTCTGCTGATATTGTGCCTGGCTTTGAAGTCTGGGTCGCTGGTTTACATCGGAACAGATGCCGATGGTCTTCGAAGCGGGAAGACTGGAGGGAGACGGCCCAGTTGGGACTAGCCACCTGGCCTCCCGGCCCTCTGCATGCCGACAGTCCCTGCCTCTCAGCCTAACCTGCCCCATAAGATCGTTGTGAGGATTTTTTTTTAAAAGGGGGGAGGGAGAGAAGAAAACCATGTACAGGTTCTTGGAAGAAAAGGTGGAATGTAAATGTACTAAATAAATAAACAGCCTTGATAGCAGGACTTTTCTTCAATGGCCTTCTGAGAGTTTTGAGACAGTTCTTATGGGGCACTGAGAGTGCTAGCAAGACTTCTCCTCAAAACACACTCACTTCACAGGTTCAGAAGAAGTTATAGTGACTGGAAACAAGAAGAAGGATAATCTGCTGTACACAGTTTTACAATGGAACAAAGAGATGCCAGAGGAACAATATCGTCATCGGTATAATTTACTGAATTCATTACCAGCCCTTTTAACATCAGGACCTAGGGCAGGTAACAACAATGTAAAATTCATTACTGTAAACAGTTTAAAGTGGAAAGCGTCAGTCAATGGGTACGTTTGGTTCTTGGGGGTAAGGGTGATGACAGACAAGCACAGGGCTCTTGGTACTGCTGGTTAAAGACTTGCAGTAAGTTGCCCTGATTACATAAGGGTGTAGGAAGATTGAGAGATCGTTCCATAGCTCATTGAATTTAGCTCAATGAACCATAGCTCAATGAACTTAGGGGTTAGGCCGCTCTCTTTTGCATTTCAATGGAGGGTGGAGGCTAGCACACGATTCCTATCCTTCCAAGTTTAGCAACTGCAGATAGCTTCATGGCAGAGCGGGGATTTGAACCCTGGCCTCCCAGGTCTTAGTCAAAAATTTAACCACTACACCACTCCGGTTTGGGATTCTTTGGGGAAGGCAGGACTGTCAAACCAGTACAGTAGTGCTTTAAATGTATTGGTGCAGATGTGGCCTCAGACATAATTATTGGTTACCTATAAAGGTAAGAGAGACACGGGTGGCGCTGTCGGTTAAATCACAGAGCCTAGGACTTGCCGATCAGAAGGTTGGCAGTTTGAATCCCCGTGACGGGGTGAGCTCCCGTTGCTCAATCCCTGCTCCTGCCAACCTAGCAGTCTGAAAGCACGTCAAAGTACAAGTAGATAAATAGGTACCGCTCCAGCGGGAAGGTAAATGGCGTTTCCGTGTGCTGCTCTGGTTTGCCAGAAGCGGCTTAGTCATGCTGGCGACATGACCCGGAAGCTGTACACCGGCTCCCTCGGCCAGTAAAGTGAGATGAGCGCTGCAACCCCAGAGTCGGCCACGACTGGACCTAATGGTCAAGGGTCCCTTTACCTTATAAAGGTAAGATGTGTTTCAGCATTAGAATTAATACCAGTATTATCATTAGGTAAAGGTAAAGGAGCCAGCGTACAGCTTCTGGGTACCTATTTATTTCCGCAGCGGTACCTATTTATCTACTTGCACTTTGACGTGCTTTCGAACTGCTAGGTTGGCAGGAGCTGGGACCGAGTAACTGGAGCTCACCCCATCACGGGGATTCGAACCGCCGACCTTCTGATCGGCAAGTCCTAGGCTCTGTGGTTTAACCCACAGCGCCACCCGTGTCCCAGTATTACTATATTATTATTATTATTATTATTATTATTACAATTTTAATATTAATAGATTATATAATGTTGGAAATGTGATAATCCTTACATCTCTGAATGTGAAGCAAAATACAATCGTACCTCGGAAGTCGAACGGAATCCATTCCAGAATGTTCAGAAACCAAGGTGCGGCTTCTGATTGGTTTCTGACTGCACAAGCACGCTGGAAAAAATAGCGGAAGCCACGCCAGATGTTCGGCTTCTAAAAAAACATTCGAAAACCGAACACTCACTTCCGGTTTTCGATTGTTTGGGAGCCGGAACGTTAAATTCCCAAGGCATTCGGGAGCTGAGGTACGACTGTAGGTTCCTGTTGTTTCTCCAAAAGAACATTTTCTTTTGCAATAAATGCCCACCTTCTCCAATTTTTCAGTACCCCCTCAAGGGTAATCCTTAGTGGTTAGAGAATGGTGGGCAAGGACTGCAGAGAGACCCAGGTTCAAATTCCCACACAGTCACAAACCACACTACGAAAGTCACTATCTCTCAGTCAAACCTACCCATCGGGACCACTGCCAAGAAGATCTAGTGGAAGGGCAATGCCTGTCTTCTTGAAGGAAAGGAGTAGAAATGCAATACAGTGGTACCTCTGGTTACATACTTAATTCGTTTCGGAGGTCCGTTCTTAACCTGAAACTGTTCTTAACCTGAAGCACCACTTTAGCTAATGGGGCCTCCCACAGCCACCACGCCGCCGGAGCACAATTTCTGTTCTCATCCTGAAGCAAAGTTCTTAACCCGAGGTACTATTTCTGGGTTAGAGGAGTCTGTAACTTGAAGCGTATGTAACCTGAAGCATATGTAACCCGAGGTACCACTGTAAATTGTTTAATGAATAATTAGAAGGAGTTAGTTGTCATTATAATAACTTATTTATTTACATTGGTGGGGTGTGTTCCACTTGTTTCTAAACATGCCAGCGCAATTCTCTTTATGCATTTCCTGAGCACATGTACAGCTTGAACCTCCCGCTTGCTAAAAGTTGGAACAGAAAATACATCCCACGCCACACCGGTCCGGCAAGGGCTAAAAGGTTTTGTGAAAATCCTTCGAAGACAAACAACTCTTACAACATTCCAGGATGTTGTTTTTGGAACCCCTGGCAAAATAATTTTTTTGGATGAGGGCCACTTCCATTGCTCAACACACTATCTCCGCCCAAAGATACTAAAAAGATGATCTGATTCATTATCATGCATCCACCTGACACACGGGCAACTAGCACTCACACATTCCTTTAGTAGTTACCCAGGAGTTAATTGTTGTTGTTGTGCATATGCAAAATGACTGACTACTGAGTTTAACCCGGAGGCAAAAGAAGCTGGAAAAGAGAACCAGGATATTCACTGGAATAGTGTCACAATGTTTTTCTTTTCCGGAAACTTAGTCAGACTTTTAGTAAATAGGATTCTTTCTTACATAATGAAATGCATTGGAGCCAACTAAGTTTTACTCAAGAGTAGTCCCACTGGAATTAATAAACCTAAGTTACTCATATCCTCTCATTTCAACAAGTCATCTCTGTGTATGCCTAACATGAGATTCAATCCCTGTGTCTTGTTTTTCTTCTTTGTAAATGGAGTATGAGAATATGGGAGAAATTAATTTTCTTCCACAAAAATCAAATGGTAGAGACAGAAAATATTTTAATACGCAGAGGTCACTGCCGCTGACTCACACATTAGTTGTTTTGCCTCACCTTAATCTCTGTTGAACATCTAGCAAGCTGGGATAAAGCAAAACATTAAGAGATAACATATTTTGGCATTTGGACTGAAATTAAGTTTATATTGATGTCTGATACCTGCCTGACTGGAGCAGGATCTAGGTTTTTGAGCAGGTGGATTAACGGTTAGAGTGTTTGACTAGAGCCTAGGAGGCCAGGGTTCAAATCTCCACTCAGCCAGGAAGCCCACTGAGTGCTCTTGGGCCACCCATTGCCTCAGCCTAGCCTACCTCTTAGGGCTGTTGTGGGAATTAAATGAGGAGGGTAGATGTATATACCATCCTGAACTTCTTGGATAAAACCCACCTCACAGAGTTCTTGTGAAGACAAAACTGAGAGCCGGTGGGGGGGGGGGACATCACCTTGAGCTCCTTGAAGAAGAGGTCTACTCAGGTGAACAGTTTTACATAAGAGCAGGGAGGTTGTACAAAACAGTAGATAGATAGAATCCTAGAACTGTAGAGCGGGAAGGGACCCAACAGGTCATCTCCCCCCAATGCAGGAGGGAGAATCCCTAACATTCAAACTGTATTTAAAAATATCCAATGGAGGACAGCCTGCCACCTTCCAAGGCAAGTCTGAACAGCTCTTAACCATCGGAAAGCTCTTCCTAATGTCTTTCTGTGGAAAGAGGAGACGTGGAAAGAGGATAGTGGCTCCCAGGGGTGGCCCGTCCTATTTTGCCACCCGAGGCAAAACAGGAATTGCCCACCACCCCATCCCACCAAACACACACATACTCTTCCGCCAGGGCACTCCAGATGAGCAGCAATGCCATGTGCCAGAACACCTCCCTCTCAGTGGCGGAAGCAGTGGGGTGGCTGGAGCACTGCCTCTTTCACTTCCAGTGCTTGAGGCAGGTCGTCCACCACGCCTCATGGGCGGGCCGGCTCTGGTGGTTCCACATCTATGAAATGAACTATCTTGGGAGAGGGGTTTATCTCCACATCGACTCCACACATTCCAGCCCTCCTATGAGCAGACTATTTCAAGGATCAGGGTGGTTTTTTAGCACACAAAGTGGCTCTTCAGAACCAATTCACAATCCACCACATAAAAGCAAAGGAACTCCACAACCGCAGCTACTGGTTCTCATGACTTGCCACAGCACTTTCCGTTTGGGAAGTGTCAGACAGACTGGCCTGTGTTTCCCCTTACAAGCTGGACTACAACTCCCATAATTCCCGGCCTGATCCCTGGCAATCAAAAGTGCTGCCTGGAGCTGATTTAAGATGGCGTCCAAAAGAATCGGGGGGCGGGGGAGTGGCACAGGTTTAAACATCCAACGTCTGGAAGGCCATCCCTCCTTTACAAACAACCCTGTGACACTTGCACATCTTCATCTCTGAATGCATAGATGTGAAGCCTGAGGCCAAACACAGTTCTTCGTTCAAGGCCTCACCCTTTGCCAACAGCAGAGGTGGAAGCTAAAAATAGCTCTCATTAATCCGCGCCCCATTGAAGCACAAGTCATTGATAATAATCAACACATTCCATTTGCCTAAACCCAGCCTTCAGCAACCTAGTGCCTGCCAGATGTTGATGGACTACCAATCCCATCAACCTTGACTACTGGCCATGTTGGCTGGGGCTGATGGGAGTTGGAGTACAAAATTTCTAGAGGTTGGGGAAGGCTAGCTTTAGCTCATGCATTAATAAAGGGGGGGAATAGTAGTTATTTTATAAAATAATAAATTAATATAAATAAATTTTATAAAATAAAATAAAATAAAAAATACTCAGTTTAAGGGGTTTCCTGCATGTCCTGTAGAGGGAAGTGAGGGGTAGACGAGGACCATCATGGGAAGCTAGCCCACCTAGAGCAGGGATGTCCAACAGGTCAATCGCGATCTACTGGTCGATCGCAGGGTGTCCCTCATCCCTGGTCGATTGCGTGATCCTGATCGATTGCCCACCCCCCAATAAAACTCAACAACTTTGGGTCTTCCTCCCCCCAAAATGCTGAACAACTCTGACCAATGCTCCCCCCAAAAGCTCAACAACCTTGGTCAATCCAATGGGTAGATCACCGCCAGGTTTTTTTTAGTGGGAGTAGATCGCAGTCTCTTGGAAGTTGGACATTCCTGATCTAGAAGGGGGGGAAATCTGACCTTAAACCTCCACTGCCTTGTGAGATATCTTCAGGAGAAGGAAAGGCTAAGGAGTAAACCCTTCTCAAATCTGGAGGGGAGTCCCTAAGACGGCTGGATGATGTCTTGTACACCTCCTTCCAAAAACTCATGAAGCCAAGCTGGTGTCAAACGTATCGCTCAGTGAGGCCAAGACTAGGGGTCTTGTCAGGGCAGCCCCGGACCTCCAGACACACAGCCCAGCCTTGCGCCCCAGTGCTTCTGTGCTACTAATGCAACAGTGTGACTTCACTCCCAGAAGCGCACTCTACAGCATGGGTAGGCAAACTAAGGCCTGGGGGCCGGATCCAGCCCAATTGCCTTCTAAATCTGGTCCGCGGACGGTCCAGGAATCAGCATGTTTTTACATGAATAGAAAGTGTCCTTTTCTTTAAAATGCATCTCTGGGTTATTTGTGGGGCATAGGAATTCGTTCATATTTTTTTTCAAAATATAGCCTGGCCCCCCACAAGGTCTGAGGGACAGTGTACCGGACCCCTGCTGAAAAAGTTTGCTAACCCCTGGTCTCTTGAGACAGACCGATGCCAACAACCTTTTATAATGGCTTCCTAACAACGGCTATATAAGGTTATAAGCCAAGGCCATGATTTGCCCTCCAACCTCTATGTAAGGGTTGCTCCCAGTCAGCTCACCTGGTCCGCCCCCCAATGTCTCTCTCGGGCAGGCTACAAGTCTAGCCAAAGAAGGCAACCTGGTCTCCAGGCTTTCCCTGACTTGTTTACTGAGGCTGCTTATCAGATGTTTAACCCACATGTTTAGTGTTTGGACAGGAAAGGATCAGAGGGAATCTGGCCCTTTTGCAATGGTCCGTCTGAGCTACTGTTTTCAAAAGGGTGCAGGGGAGAGGTATGATTTGGTGAAAATTGGGAGAAGTCAGGGGTAGGACTGGTCCATTCATTAAAGGTAAAGGGACCCCTAACCATTAGGTCCAGTCGTGGCCGACTCTGGGGCTGCGGCACTCATCTCGCTTTATTGGCCAAGGGAGCCGGCGTACAGCTTCTGGGTCATGTGGCCAGCATGACTAAGCCACTTCTGGCGAACCAGAGCAGCGCATGGAAACACCGTTTACCTTCCCGCTGGAGCGGTACCTATTTATCTACTTGCACTTTGACGTGCTTTCAAACTGCTAGGTTGGCAGGAGCAGGGACCGAACAATGGGAACTCACCCCGTCATGGGGATTCGAACCGCCGACCTTCTGATCGGCAAGTCCTAGGCTCTGTGGTTTAACCCACAGTGCCACCCGCGTCCCTGGTGCGTTCATTAAGGCCTCCTAAATTAGCATCATAACTGAGACCCTAACATGAGTCCTAGGTCTTCCTTGGTCACTCCTGCCTTCTAGCAACTGTGCTCACTGCACACTGTAGAAGACAAATGCAAGGCTTCCAACTGCAGAGCCACTTGCAAAGAAATTCCTGTGAACCGACTCCCAAGGGAAAGAGGAAGCAACAGCCACTTAGGGCACTGTAAAGCCAGGAGAAATACCTCTTCGCCTGAGACTGCGTCATCTCTCTGTCCATAATTACTCCACTGTGCTCAGGGCTACTTCAGATTTTCCATGCTTCTGACTAATGCCAAACAATTATTTAGGTAAGTGTGGGCCTGCCAGAGGCGGCATGCAATGAAGAAGCCATGAGAATTGGTGAAATCCATCACGAAAGGTAAAAAAGGAGAAGCAACGGCTTGCTAAAGGAGCAATATAGTAGGGGGGAATGGAAGAATACTACAAGACAATGGCTGGGTGGCCACAGGTTCCCCATCTCTCTTTCTCATGCACAAGCAGAATGGTGCAACATTCCTGCCTGGACCATGGGCAAAGGTATCAATCCTATGCATGCTTAGAATAAAGGAAAACACAGAGAAAGCTCCTTGGAAAACCATGGTTTGCTGTTGCAGCAAAATGTGGCAAACTCTGGTATACGCAAACCATAATTTGCTCTTCAATCAGCCTCTCAAACCAGTGTCAAACTGTTGTCTGGCATCCTGGTTTAAGAGTAAACAATGACTACAGCAAACCAGAAATTGCCACCTTTGAACGCAACAACAAACTCTGGCTTGCCAACAAACAAGAAGTCAGTTTAGAAACTGCAGCTTGTGAAGGGAGGAGGACGAGGGAACATGTGCGCCTGAGGCTCCCGGGGACTCTGCTTGTGCATTGTAACACAGGGGTAGAGAACCTTAGAAACCGCCAGATGTTGTTGAACTACAACTCCCATCATCCCCAGCAGGCATGGTGAATGGTCAGGGATGATGGGAGTTGTATTTCCGCAAAACCTGCAGGGCCAAAGGTTCCCTACCCTTGATGTAACGCCAAACCACAGTTTGGTGTTACATCTGAGTATGCACATTGATAGGTTAACTTCCAATTAGGCCAACCTAAATAAATTAAATTTTATTCCATGGATTATTAACTCTTGACTGCAAAAGTATTTATCTTAGGCTGCCTATACAGCCACCGTCCATAGCTTTTACTTTTGTTACAGACAGATGCCAACAAAAAAAAGTATTGCTTACTATTATCTAAGTGCCACTCCTGTTCATTTATTTGACTTGGACAAGCAAATGTCCCAGAATCAGAAAAGGCACAGCCATAAGCATTATCTAGTTAGAACAAATCCTCTTACCTAGTGTCAATGGGTACAAAATTGAGCAAGAGGCAAGAAGACACATTCCTTTGACTTATTTGCTTGCTAATGAGGACAGACCAGTTGCCTCCATAGAATAGCAGACCATGAGAGTAGAATCACAGATCTGGGGTGCTTGGCACCTGACTTTTCTCCTACAACACCCATCAACTAATTTCCTGAAATGTTGGCTGGGAACAGCTTAGGAATTTTTGAAGAAAACCTAAAACAAACAGCCTCCTCAGTCTGCTTCCTGCTGATAGCATCACCACCTACTCCAGGGGTGGGAAACCTGTGACCTTCCAGATGTTTTCCTTTCCAGATGTTTTCATAGAATCATAGAGTTTAAGGGACCCTGAGAATCACCTGCAATACAGGAATATGCAGCTGTCCCTTATGGGGATCAAACCTGCAACCTTGGCACTATCAGCACCACGCTGCACCCAACCAAGCGATCCAGCCCTTGCTGGACTACAACTCCCATCAGCCTCTTCCAGCATGGCCAATGGTCAGGGAGAACGGGAACTGTAGCAACATCTGAATGGCCACCAGTTCCCCACCTGGCCTATTCTTTGATCTAGGGCTCCTGACACAATCAGTTCCCTTTCTGTAAATGCCCACAACTTTCATTACTTGCTGTGGCAGCAATGCATATTACAGTACACCATATGTATCAACACAGTAATCTCAAAAAGGAATATGAATCTCAAGGCATCATTGAGTACTTACCCAGGGTTAATGGGAGCTTGTTTTGAACACACAAACTTGTTGATAGGATTTAGCAGGCAACGACCCAAAGCGGATCAGTCAAAACTTCAAATGTTTGTTGAAAACTACAAGAGATGCAATATAAGCGCATTAGTAGCTGGTACGCGAGGCCATCTAAATTGCAGCTATTTCAAATGCACTATAGTTTCCACTGATGGAAAATACTCGCCAGGTAAGTTCTAGTTTGCTGCCTGTGCTAGGAGCGCTCATTGTTGCTAAATTCTCAGTCGTATTATACAATGCCCAATTGCACAAGATGCCAAAGTTGTTTTGCTTAACCTTTAACCTTTGAACAATCCCACAGGTCCACATAGGGAGCTTCGGTTCAGTTTATTGCTAGCTGCCCGGCTGTGTTTGACCAGTAAGCAGGAAGTCACCTAAGCCCAGTGCAAACTGTCAATGCTACAGCAAATAGATGCTGGGCAGCAGTTCTCAAAATTATGGTCCACAAACCACTGCTACATCCAGGTGGTCTACAATGTGCTTGTGGATGTGTGGTTGAAGATCAGACATGGCACACCCATTGCCATAAACAGCTGTACCGATTCATTTGTTTTAATTAAAACACGTTTATTCAAAAGTTACAATGCAGCTTTGTCCACTGCCATAGTATCACAGAATGATCACTCCAACCCTCAGTCCCTCATCACTGTCATGTTGGCTCATCAAATAGAATTATAGAGTCACAGACTTGTAGAGTTGGAAGGGACTCCAAGGGTCATCTAGCCCAACCCTCTGTACTGCAGGAATCTTGACTAGATCATCCATGACAGATGGCCATCCAACCTCTGCTTAAAAACCTCCAAGGAAGGAGAGTCCACAACCTCTCTCAAGGGAGACCCTCAAAAGGATCCCAACTACTGATCTAATTTACTAGATCAGTCTGATTTTTGCTTCTATTATTCCTTATATTGTACTTCGTTGTATTGCAGTTTGGATTCTACAGCATACAATAAATACAATCTATAAGAAATAAAAGAAGCAACAAAAATACAGTGGTACCTCGGATTAAGTACTTAATTCGTTCCGGAGGTCCGTTCTTAACCTGAAACTGTTCTTAACCTGAAGCACCACTTTAGCTAATGGGGACTCCTGCTGCTGCCACGCCGCCAGAGCACGATTTATGTTCTCATCCTGAAGCAAAGTTCTTAACCCGAGGTACCATTTCTGGGTTAGTGGAGTCTGTAACCTGAAGCGTATGTAACCTGAAGCGTATGTAACCTGAAGCGTATGTAACCTGAAGCGTATGTAACCACTGTACAATTAATGGTCATACAGCATCTAACACAGTACATTGCAATTGCTGTCAAAAGCAGAAAACTTATTGTGTGGGCTACAACGGAATGTCTAGGCAACTTTTTTTGCAGTGAAATGTATTATTATTATTATTGTTATTTCCATTTTCATAACGCTTTATATTTTTAAAAGAAAATATTTCAAAGCAGTTTGCAACACATTAAAACATCAGATAAAGCAATCCAGAATAAAACAAATGCAAGCTTCAAGGAAAATATTTCAGATCCTTCTCTGACAATTTGCTTTCCCCATATTTATTTACCCACTTGATTTCTAGAGCTGCCCCAGGGCAGAAGTTCTCTAGGAAGCCAATATAATGTTGACGCCGAAATTTAAAAGCAAGATCCAAGAAGCATAGAATCCTAATCCTAATCCTTCATCTGATTTCCACTCATCACCTACCTAAACTTTCAGGAAGAGGCTGTTCCACCTCCCTTTCAGTCTACAGTGGTACCTCGCAAGACGAAATTAATCCGTTCCGCGAGTCTCTTCGTCTTGCGGTTTTTTCATCTTGCGAAGCACGGCTATTAGCGGCTTAGCGGCTTTAAGAAAAAGGAAACAAACTCGCAAGAACTCGCAAGACATTTCGTCTTGCGAAGCAAGCCCATAGGGAAATTCGTCTTGCGGAACGACTCAAAAAACGGAAAACTCTTTCGTCTTGCGCGTTTTTCGTCTTGCGAGGCATTCGTCTTGCGAGGTACCACTGTATATGCATATTAAATATTTGAATACTGTTTGGCGTCCCACTTTTCCTTATTCCAAACAGCCCATTTTTATTCTATTTTGAAACAGCTTTTATTTGTGTTTTTTAAGCATAATATTGATCAGAAATGTGATTGCTTTCTATAGGTATCTCATTTGTTTTTATTCTTCTTTATTTATACGTTTATGTACCACCCTACATCCAAAGTTCTAAGGGCGGTTCACAACATAAAAATGCAAAATGAAAACACAAATATTAATGTCTGGATGTGGTTTGGCTTCCAATTTACTCAAGACTGGTTGTATTTTGTAATGTCGATCATTTTTAAAATTTTGGTATCCATTAGAAATTGTGACTGCATCTTCCAGAAAAAACTGGGAAAGACCCCTCTATGAAACTCTGGGGAGTCCCTGCTGGCCAAAAGAGATAGCACAGAGCAAGGTGGATCAATGGCATGATTTAGTTATAAGGCAGCTTCTTAAGTTCCTAAAGTAGCGATGGAGAACCTGTAGCCCCCATATAAGTTGCTGGACTCCCAAAGTCCATCAACCCCCAGCCAGTAGGGCCAATGGGCAGTAAGGATATTGTCTTCCAGCAACCTTTGAGAGCCATCAAATCCCAATCCCCACCCCTTACCTAAGGAGACTAGTGTGCCTGTGGAAATGACCTGGAACACATCCAAACCTAAAAGCAGGCACAATCTTCCTATCACTTCCAGCGTCACCCCGTCAGCTGTGACAAATGCCGGGCTGGGCACGCCTATGAGGTGACCCACAAACTGACCTCATGCATTTTCCTCTTTGCTAAAGAGCTTTAATCTCCAGAGGTGAATCACAGTGACGTCCCAGCAGGACGAGCAAAGGCAGCGTTGTTGTTCATAGAATCATAAGAGTTGGAAAGGGTTGCCAGGATCATCTAGTCCAACCCCCTCATGAAACCCATGACCCTGAGATTAAGATTCTCATGCTCTACCGACAGAGCTACTACTACTATTTACTACTACTACTACTACAACTATTATTATTATTATTTACTACTACTACTAGTATTCTGTATTCACTTTTTCACCCTGGGCACCAGCAACGCGCTTAAAACAAAGGCACCCTTGCCGGAAAGCCACCAGATCTCTTTAAAAAAAGATCCCCCGGGGCTCTTCTTAAAGCCTCCTGCCCTAAGTGCACTCAGGACCGGGGGATGTGGGTTTGAGCCCTACGATGGGCAAACGATTCCTGCGAGGGGTTGGACTAGATGACTTTCAGAGGCCCCTTCCAATTGTATGATTCCTGCCGCTGCCTTCCAAGGAGGCATCGCTAGCGGTCTGAAGCGGGTCGGGGAGAGATCGATGCCTCAACCCCCTGGGGGGGGGGTGACGGCGGGGGAGAGACCACCTCCAGGACCAGCAATCGGGGAAAGACCCGGTTCCGACGTTCATCCCGCGCAGCATCAGCGGCCAAAGCCCACCCTGCTGGGTTTCCTCGTTCCCGTAGAAACCGAAACCGCGAGGCAAACCGAGGCGCTTTTGCCCTGCCTGGTGGGGCTGCTTCTCGAGGGACTTACCTGGGCGCCGTTTCCCGCAATGAGACCGGCGGCGGCGGCAGCAGCAGCCCGAAATTGTGCGCTGTTGTCGCTAAGACGCGCCGACGAATGAATAAGAAGCAGCAGCCGAGGCGGCTTCGGGCAGGAGCGAAGAGCTCGCAGACACGTGATCGCCAGCGAGAGGAGGAGGAGGAGCCGCGGAGGGCGGCGTCACGTGATGCGATTGCGACGAGGAGCGGGGGGGGGGGAGGCGGGAGGGATAACAATGGAAGGAGGCTGGGAGAGCGGCTGGCTTGATCAGAAAGACCAGAAGGAAGGCGGGGGTGGCGGGGAAATGAAGGGAAGCAGGACTGCAGCCTGTCTGGGTCCTGCAAGTTTGATAAGGAGGCGCCGAGGGCTTGGGAAGATCAGTTCAGTGGGGAAATGCTTTATTTCGCAGAAGCCACTTTTTTAGTGCTGCACATTTAGCAGATATTTAGCAGAAGTCACATTCATATATATATATATATGTATATGTATATATGTAGGGACGCGGGTGGCGCTGTGGGTAAAAGCCTCAGTGCCTAGGGCTTGCCGATCGAAAGGTCAGCGGTTCGAATCCCCGCGGCGGGGTGAGCTCCCATTGTTAGGTCCCAGCGCCTGCCAACCTAGCAGTTCGAAAGCACCCCCGGGTGCAAGTAGATAAATAGGGACCGCTTTATAGCGGGAAGGTAAACGGCGTTCCGTGGGCTGCTCTGGTGCAGGCTCGCCGGAGCAGCGATGTCACGCTGGCCACGTGACCCGGAAGTGTCTTCGGACAGCGCTGGCTCCCGGCCTCTAGAGTGAGATGAGCGCACAACCCTAGAGTCTGTCAAGACTGGCCCGTACGGGCAGGGGTACCTTTACCTTTATATGTATATATATATGTATATGTATATATGTATACGTATATGTATATAGGTAAAGTTACCCCTGACCATTAGGTCCATATATATATATATATATATATATATGTAAAGGGACCCCTGACCATTAGGTCCAGTCATGACCGACTCTGGGGTTGCGGCGCTCATCTCGCTTTATTGGCCGAGGGAGCCGGTGTACAGCTTTCGGGTCATGTGGCCAGCATGACTAAGCCGCTTCTGGCGAACCAGAGCAGTGCACGGAAACGCCGTTTACCTTCCCTCTGGAGAGGTACCTATTTATCTACTTGCACTTTGACATGCTTTCGAACTGCTAGGTGGGCAGGAGCAGGGACCGGGAGCTCACCCAGTCGCAGGGATTCGAACCGCTGACCTTTCGATCGGCAAGCCCTAGGCACTGAGGCTTTTACCCACAGCGCCACCCGCGTCCCATATATATATAATAAGCAACAATTGTGCAATTAAAGAAAATGAAAATCAAAAGTCGGACAACAAACAGCCACTTTCTTGCAGTGACCCAAATACAGAGAGAAAGATGATTGCGGCACTTGAGGACATCAGAAGCAGATATTTAGCAGACGTCACATTCTTTTAAATATATACAATACACAATTGTGCAGTGAAAGAAAATCAAAAGTCGAACAACAAACAGACACTTTCTTGTGGTACCCCAAATAGAGAGAGAGAGAAAGATGATTGCGGCACTGGAGAACATCGGAAGTCTCAGGGGTCCAGACCAAAGGCCTATAGCAGGGATAAGGAACCTCACGCCCGCAACCCAAATGCAGCCCTCCAGGCTCATTCTCCTTCCCAGGCCACGCCCTTGCCTTCCCTTGCTCCATCCCCAGTAGCTTGCGGTCACGATTATGGGAACTAGGCTAGTACCCCAAATATTCCCCTGGTGCCTCCTGCCCAAGGCCTGGAAAGCTTCTGAACAGCTTAGGGGGAAGGTGCAATGCTCACCCTTGCAATCAGTCTCCCTTGCAAACCTCCGGCCCAAGGAGTTTAAGGTGGTGTACATGTTTCTCCTCCTTTTATTACCCCCTGACCCAGTTAAGCTGAGAGGCCCAAGGTCACTCTTCTAAGAATTTTAAGGTCTCAAATATAGAATAAATATTCATAAATGCACACATATCTCAATATATGAACCATGTGTCTGAAATAATGTGGGAGAGCAATCCTGAAGCCCTTTTGACTCTCCCAGTGACCTCAAATATTTTTCTGCAGTCAGGGAGGCAGATGGGGAAAGCCTTCCCATTGTCATTTTTTGCTTGCAAATCCTGTCTTAAGGGTGCATTTGTGTATGAATAGGGTGAGCCTGTGACCTGGATTCAGGAACTAAAGTATTAACCATCACAAAAGAATGGCCAGACTGCCTGGGTAATGCAATCAGTGACCATTATCAGGTATCTTGGGAGGCAGGATTTCTGCTGTAGACCGCCTCCTTCTGTGATGGATGTATGATGTTTTAGGGGGGTGGTCTTGGGCTACAGGGTGGATTTTGTTGGGAGCCGCCCAGAGTGACCAGGGAAACCCAGCCAGATGGGCGGGCTACAAATAATAAATTATCATCATCATCATCATTTATTTATTTATTTAAAAGTCTATATAAGGGCTTGCGCACCATTGTTCAGGGTTCTCCTCCCTCCTGTCTGTGGTGAGTGGGGACCCTGTTGCAACAGTTCTTTGAATAAAGGTAAGGCTTACTAGCTGCTTTGCTTCTCAATTTTCTTCTTTGGCAATGACTCTTAGCCGAGTAAGATTGTCTTCCATAAACACGGTTTTAACAATGACTCCGTAAGTGACTATGGAGGCCAATTCCACAGTGGGGACATTGGTTTCCGGGCGGGAGTTGATCACAGTGTGGATTTGCCAAGCATGCCTTCCTTTTAGCACATTTCTCCCTTGCGTCCTGAGTTCGAGTATCTTCAAAGCCCATGACACCTTTGGTAAAGGCTGTTCTCCAACTGGCACGCTCGCAGACCAGTGTTTCCCAGTTGTCAGTGTTTATACTACATTTTTTTAGATTTGCCTTGAGACAATATACTCTGGTTGGCCTCTGTTATTTCTTCTACCAATAGGGAACCCACTTAAAGACTCTATATGGGCTCTGGAATACCGAATAATAAGGGAAAGGGAGCAGTTTTTCTTATAACAGTCACCCAGGAATTTTACCTGCCGGGAATAATGTGTCCTTGCATTAGGATAATGGCTGTAACTTGCTTGGATGGAGAGAGGTATGTGTGGGAAAATCCTGAATTTTGCCTGGCTTGAAAGTAGCCTACTTTATATCAGTTGCTCCTCAAACTTTTGTGCCTCTGACCATGTCCACCACCTTTATGTTTTTCCTCTGCCCCCAGGGCGCCCATGTGTGAGAATGTGTCCCCAGGGCTTTAAAAATGTTCCCAAGTCCTGTCCCATCTGGTCCAGCATCCTTTTCCCACAGTGGCCAACCAGATGTTGATGGGGAGCATGAGCAAACATCATTCTCCTCATTTGTGATTCCTAGCCAACAGTTACTCAAAGGCATACTGCCTCCGACAATGCAAGGATAATATAGTCATCGTGGCTAATAGCCATTGACAGACTTATCCACTATGTAATCGAAGACTGACAGGTTTCTAGAGAACAGGAAAGACCTACTGGATCTGGTCACAACCTTCATTTAGTCCTGCCTCCTGCAATGACCAAAGAGAGAACTATAGTGGAGGCGGCCTTAGACCTAATCACACTATTGGGTCCACTTAGTTCAGTAATGTTCACACTCACAGCAGGCCGGGTCATCATCTCCACCAGTGGCAAAATTGACAGGTGGGCGTGGCCACCCATCTGTCAATCACAATGACACCTGGTGACATCTTTTGGCCTATGCAAATTGAAATCAAGCCATGCAGAGACATACGCTAGAGCAGGCATCCCCAAACTTGGCCCATCTCCAGATGTTTTGGGACTACAATTCCCATCAGCCCTGACCACTGGTCCTGTTAGCTAGGGATGATGGGAGTCATAGTCCCAAAACATCTGGAGATGGGCCACGTTTGGGGATGCCTGCGCTAGAACTCTTCAAAGCACTCTGCAAGAAAGACCTGGCTGGTTGGCAGACGTCATGGAGTTCTTGCAGAATGCTCTGCCAGGGACTTCTCAAGAACCAAAAGTCTTGCAAAGACCAATGCAAACTGTTCTGCAAGACCTGACAATCAGCTGATAGCTGGGTCTTGCAGAGAGTTTTCAAAGCGTTTTGGAGGTGCCCTCGATCAGCTCTTCAGTAGTGTCTTCAAAACACTTTAAGGGCATTTGAAAGTTAAGCAGTTTTTGAGGCCCTGCTTGTGTGCTTACCTTTAGGATCAGTTAGGATGGTGGGCAGGAGTGATGGGTCTTCTCAGGGACAACCCCTTCCCTACAGAACTAATTTTCTAGGGCTATGCAATTGGTCCCATTTTTTAAAAGCCACAGCGATTAATTTATTCCCATTGTTCTTGGGTCACTGCCATTTTAGAATATTATTTGCTTACAAATTTATTTACAAGTGTATAAATATTTATTTAAATCTGCTAGTTTTAAAATATTATGCTAGTTTTAGATTGCTCAGTTATTTTGTGCTAGGCTGTCTCTTGCTTTACATTGGTTTATAAAATGTTTTAACAAAATAAAGGAATCTTTGTCACAAGTAAGTAAGATGCAAGATGAATCGTAATGTCATACCTATAGTGCAACCTCTGAAACCATAATAATAATAATAATAATAATAATAATAATAATAATAATAATTTATTTATACCCCACCCATCTGGCTGGGCTTCCCCAGCCACTCTGGGCAGCTTCCAAAAAAATATTAAAATACTGTAATACATCAAACATTAAAAGCTTCCCTAAACAGGGCTGCCTTCAGATGTCTTCTAAAACCCTTGTGTTTTGCTAGTTATTTTCTGCTAAAGTTCACAAAGGGCATTGAAAAGCATGCAGAATAACCCTGCGTCAAACTCTGGGTTATGCAGAAGTTCATGTCAAACAAAACCTTTCTGCCATATCACCACGAATCTGCCCACAAATCTTGTTTGCTGGCCTGAGGAAAGCATCTAAAATGGAGAAACAAATTACGACAACATACCATGTCATGATCTTCCTGGCCTGCCAATTTTCATACCAATTGTTTGGGGAGGGATAGTAACTTCAGGTGGGGGACGCACCTTGCTCCTTCTGGGCGCCCCACCTTCAACTCAACTCTCACCTGTGGCTCCTAGAAGCTGTCAGCATGCAACAGTGGCCACAT